GGGGATAGAAGGTGGGAGGAGGGAGAGGATCAGGAAAAAATAACTAATGGGTACTAGACTTACTACCTGGGTGATGAACAAATATGTACAGCAAACCCCCATGACCCAAGTTTACCTATGTAACAAACCTGCACTTGTACCCCTGAACTTAGAATAAAAGTTAAACAAAAAGAAAAAAGATCACATACTCTATATTCCATTAATAGGAATGGTCTAGAGCAGACAAATCTACAGAGACAGAAAGTCAATTAGTGGTTTTCTGGGATTAGGTGGTGGTAGAATATGGAGTGACTCTCAACAGAGATAAAAATATTATAAACTTAGATTGCAGTGATGCTTGTACAGCTCTTTTAATATATTAAACCATTTAATCATACACTTTACAAGGAGAATTTCATTGTATGTTGTGTCTCAATAAATATATTTTAAAAGAATGACTGATAGACAATACAAGCAATTTAATGTATAAGATACATTTTGCTCAGTAATCGAGAAAGCCCACTTTAAGTGTTCTCCCCATTTTTTTTTTTTTTTTTTTTAGATTTTAGAGACAGGATCTCACTATGTTGCCCAGGCTGGTTTTGAACTTCTGGACTCAAGCAATCCTTCCAACTAGGCCACTCAAAGGGCTGAGATTCCAGAAATGAGCCACTGAACCCAGTCTACGTGTTCCTTTGAGGTCATCTCAACCTTAACACTCCTGTGTTGTCATTTTTCTTTCCCTCATATGAACACATCCTAGAATTCAAATCTACCATCTCATGCCAATTTCTGAATGCTTTTTGCATAAACATGCAAATAGAGAGACTTAGGGTTTATGGACTTTATTTTTCATACTTCTATATTAGCTGTCACTTCAGCTTAGGATGTCATTCCTCATTTTCATCATGACCCCCAACAAAATACCATTTACTTGAACATTTAGCTCAAGATTCAGCTTTTCTGCTAAGTTCAGTAAGACTTTCCGCTAGCCATTGATGAGGATTTCCATTATTGGAAGGAAGTTAACAAATAGTCCCAACATGATGCTTTACTTGTCACACTAAGAAAGGACTTTTTAAGGAAAAGAGCAATCTTACTTATCTCTAAATTTTTGTGTCTAATACCTAGGAGGTGCTCAACCGATTTTTATAAAAGGAAAAAACAGAGGGAGAAAATAAGGAAAGATGATGATAAAATTGTATATAAATGTGGACTAGTACTTATGGATCACTTGAAGGACTTTCAAACAGCCTAGACTAGAATCCAGGAGTATAGGTTATGCCACCTGGATAGTGAGTAGAACCCAAGGCTAGAGTTGAGATTGAATTCTTTGAGCCAGTGTGTGATCATAAGTAATTGAAAATAGAGGTTTCCATACAGATGAGATTATTAAGTATCTAAGCCTCAAAGTTTTAGTTTACCTAACATATAGATGAAAATTCCCAACTGTGGAGTGAAGACTCAGTCATTCACTGGAGTTCTTTATAGCTAAGAAGGAAGACCCAGAATTTATGGAAAGAAACTGCTAAGAGAAGAGAAATTTCACACTTTGGGAGGCCGAGGCAGGTGGATCACGAGGTCAAGAGATTGAGACCATCCTGGCCAACATGGTGAAACTCCATCTCTACTAAAAATACAAAAAAATTAGCTGGGCGTGCTAGTGCGCGTCTGTAGTCCCAGCTACTTGGGAGGCTGAGGCAGGAGAATTGCTTGAACCTGGGAGGCGGAGGTTGCAGTGAGCCGAGGTCGCGCCACTGCACTCCAGCCTGGTGCCTGGTGATGGAGTGAGACTCTATCTCAAAAAAAAAAAAAAAAAAGAAAGAAAGAAAGAAGAGAAATTTCAAAAACCAAAGGGAAAAATAAAGCATGTCTGAAAAGGGACTCAAGATGTCCAGAGTAATTCTGCTCAGATTTTCTAGCTAATCTCTGCAATAGGAGTTTCCTCACCTTCTTAGTTCGTATCTCTTTATCCTCTAGACAGAACTATTAGCTGAATTTCTAGGTCTCATCTCTGTGGTGGACACCTCTCCTTACAAGTGCCTCTGTGCTGAATGAAATTGTCTTCTTTAATTGATAAAGTCCTCCTTTTTCTGCAGGGACCCATGTTACTCACTTCACCTCTGATATCCAACACAGAACTCATTATTCCTGCCTGTATGTGTATTACAATATACACCCGTAGTATAAAAATTATCATATATTATAATCAGCTGCATAGTTATGTTCCCCCCCACCACCATGCCCAGCAGTCAGTATGCTCTTCAATCTCAGATATATCTTTATCTGAATAGGTTCTGAGTTTAGCTTTAGTATTCAGCATTCACAAAATGTTGAATTTTTCAATTTCTATAATTTTATCCCTTGTGCCTTCCCTCTTTCCAGAGAATGTCTCTACTTTTAAAATTTCCTCCACCAAGTGCGGAAAAATGAGAGAGGGAGATGGAGAGAGAGAAAGAGTGTGCGAGAATGAGTGTGAAAGAGAGCCCACTAAGGCTCTGGAACTGGACCTGGTTTAGAGTCCTCACCTTTTTACTTACAAGGTTGCTGCCATATAAAAACTTCGTATCTTTTTTTTTTTTTTTTTTTTTTTTTTTTTGAGACGGAGTTTTGCTCTTGTTACCCAGGCTGGAGTGCAATGGCGCGATCTCAGGCTCACCGCAACCTCCGCCTCCTGGGTTCAGGCAATTCTCCTGCCTCGGCCTCCTTAGTAGCTGGGATTACGGGCACGCGCCACCACGCCCAGGTAATTTTTTTGTATTTTTAGTAGAGACGGGGTTTCACCATGTTGACCAGGATGGTCTCGATCTCTTGACCTCGTGATCCACCCTCCTCGGCCTCCCAGAGTGCTGGGATTACAGGCTTGAGCCACCGCGCCTGGCCACTTCGTATCCTTTCTAAACCTAATTTTCTTCATCTATAAACTGAGTGTGATCACTTCACGCATTTTTCTTTCCCTCATATGAACACATCCTAGAATCCAACTAATGTGCATGAAGAGTGATCACTTTTTCATGCATGATAAATACGTAGGATAAGGCTGGGTGTAACAGTATGCTCAGTAAGTGGTGGCTGTTACCATTATCTTTAAAACAATTTCAAGTGTATTAAATTTGTTAATGAAGCACAATGGAATTTTTGAAGATGCTAGTGTACCAAGAAGATTTTTGGTATACTACTGTTTATCAATTCAAAATTGATAAATATTTATCAATTTTTGAACTGATAAATAGTAGTGTCCCAAAAAATTTAATTTGAGTATTATCTTCCAGAAAGTAAATTCTAATAATACGAAAATATATCTAGTAAAATTATCATTATAATTTTGATAAGAGAAGTGCTCTTTTTACATCTTGTTAATGTATAGGAGCCTCTGGCAAGAATGCTAAAATTTATTTTACAAAATTACATGATCTAAAGAAAGTACAACTGTTTCTATTTTTAAGTCTAAATAAACAAACTTTAATGTAAACCTTATTTATTTATTTATTTTATTTTTTTTTGAGACGGAGTTTCGCTCTTGTTACCCAGGCTGGAGTGCAATGGAGCGATCTCGGCTCACTGCAACCTCCGCCTCCTGGGTTCAGGCAATTCTCCTGTCTCAGCCTCCTGAGTAGCTGGGATTACAGGCTTGTGCCACCATGCCCAGCTAATTTTTTGTATTTTTGGTAGAGACGGGGTTTCACCATGTTGACCAGGATGGTCTCGATCTCTTGACCTCATGATCCACCCGCCTCGGCCTCCCAAAGTGCTGGGATTACAGGCTTGAGCCACCGCGCCCAGCCGTAAACCTTATTTTTAAAAAATATACCACATAAAATTGCCAAACTGACTTATAAAATCAAAAACAAACATAGCTTAATGTGGTTAACAAGTTATATTTATTATTTTCTATAGTATGTAAAAAGTAAGATATGTTTTTAAGACTTTGTTAAAAATACTTCTTTACACAGCTTTTGGAAGGTAACTGGCAAACACAGTTAGTTTACAAGAAAAAGATATGCTTTTCAAACTAAAATCAGTGTGTTGTCTTTATGCGATTAACAGAAGCAAGTAATGATTCAGTTTAAGTATCTGAAGCAGTTTCCATAGTAGAGCATTCCTAAGAAATAGAAAACTGAGAAGCTTAGATGAAGCACCAGCTATCACATTGTCACCAATTTAACACTGGTTCCTCACTGGTCCCCATAACATGACAGAGAGCAGGAGGAGAAAGGGAAGGAACACTTACAGAAAAAAAACAAAAACAAAAACCTGAAATTACATTTGCTTAGGGCATTCCCCAAAGGCTTCTTGGTTAGGTTATTTCATTTCTGAGGGGCAGAAAAAGATGATAATAGTTAAGGCTTGAGATCATGCATTCAGAATAAAATATAATTACTGATACATAAAATATATTGAATGTTATATAATATATTAAAGGACGACATTTAAGTCAATAACACACAGATTTTCTTTCTGAATCTTTTAGGGCCTGGTAGGCTCGTTGAAATCAATCTTCATACAGTTGAAATAACTCTTAAAATCTCAAACTACATGGAAGTAAATGAATATATTTGTATCAATAAGTCAAAGGACAACTGCCTATGCCTATCTTTAAAAATAATTTCAACAGTGAAAACTAATGTTTAGGATTTTAAAGTTCTTTGAATATAAAACATTTTATAGAGTATTGATGCATGTGATGAAATTAGAAAACTTGAAAATATAAATATATAAGGGAAAACTCACCATATAAACTAATGTTATAAAACAACAAAGTTAAGCTTTTATCTCATAATTCATAGTTCTCGTAGTTTGAGTGAACATTGTCTTTCTCTAAGTTATAAAGAATTATAAAATATAGTGAAAAGTACGTTAATTAAGAGTCAAGACACTATGGAAATCCCTGTATATAATGATAATAGCTCTCAAATTTTCTAATTCATATTTCAACATACATTTGTCAGATCTTATATATTCAATTTTACATTAGAAATAACTGGTAAAAATACATCAGTTTCATAACAAAGTAAAGCTTGAGTCTATTAACCTATTACCTATTAGGTCATTTTTAGTAAATGTATAAAAAATAGATGTAAACGAGAAGAAAATGCAAAAAAATTTTAGGTCATAACTCTCCTTTATGCTTGTTTTACGAATCTGTCCTGTTCAAGAGTCAGAGCTTAAATGGAACTAGCCAAAGAGAATGAGAAACCAGGAACCAGAGAACAGCGAAATCTTTTTCATTGCCAGTTCCAAAATATAAAGAAAACAGAACATACAAAAATGAACATAGAGCTTCAGCCAATCTTTTTCAAATGCAATGTTAATCACCCCAGGAATCTCTGTGATTGATCTCAAAGACACTTTCTAAGTAACTGCCCTCTCCTTACAATTGGCATTTGTCTAGGCAAGTTTATGATTTAATGGCCAGGAGCATTTCACCATCACATATCAGGAAAGTATTTGCTTATTTGTAAGTAAGTCTTAATAGTGGCAACTTGAAGCCCACTAAATTAGACATAAAATATAAAAGAAAGCCCCTGCTGCGGAGTATCTATATCACCATTTCCCTTCATTCCCTAGAAGGTACGAATAATATAAGCCACCTAAAGAAAACAAAGATGAGATTGTCAAACGGCCACTTTAACCTGCTTTAAACTCACTGCAGCAATATTAAGGGTTGTCTTGATTGGTTAGATATAGTGCCAAACAGTCAATTTGGCATGAAGTCTTGTGAATACAAGCTTAATTACCATGGGTTGTAAAGAACTGATCTTTATCTCTGCTTTTTCTGATATTTTATTTCTGGTTTAAGCTTTCAATATTTTTCAGATATGTGAAGAAAATTGCAAAGAGGTGGTAAGTGGGATTAGATCTGGCTTTGAATAGGTGATTTTTCCTTAGCTTTGTCAATATAGGCACCTTCTTTAGTAGCAGGAACATCTCCATCACCATCTATCATCTGAATATCTGATGTATTTTTGTCATTTCGCCTCAAGCGGTAATTTTTGTAAGCACGTTGAATGATGGTTGCTGAAACTGCCTCTTGTTTTCGTTTCAAAGTAGTTGTAATTGGCTCACATGTGATCTTAAAAGGGTTAGCTAACAAAAACCCTGATTCTATCTCTGAAAGAACTTTCTCCATCCTCACATCTTGACCCATAACTCTCTTTGTAAAAGCAAGTAAGATATCGAGGCAATGAATTCTGTCCCCAACAGCCATGGGGAGGTCCAAAGCAATAAGCTGGCCCTTGTTTGGTTTTGCCATGAAAAGAGGAGGATCAAGAGCAGCTGCAAAATCAGAAAGCTTACTAGAGTCTATGTACTGGGTCCTATCAGGATCAAACCTTTTCCATACCTGAAAAAATTTCCTAAAATCATCTTCACTCAAAGTCCTGTTTTTCTTCTTAGAAGCAATATTTAAAAACTCGATGACAACAACAATATACATATTTACAATGATCACCCATGATATGAGGATATAACTGACAAAATACAAAACCCCAACAGAAGGGTTCCCACAATCTCCTCTAACTTGAGTGCCAGGGTTAATTTTATCAGGATCACAATCAGACCATTTGCTGTTGAAAATTGCAACAAGCATCCCATCCCAACCAGCAAATATTGCAACTTGAAAAAGACAGAGCATACTGCTGCCAAAGGTTTCAAAGTTAGACACATCATTAATTCCAGCTTCTTTTTTAACATAGGCAAAATTGTACATTCCAAATATGGCATAGATGAACATAACCAGGAAGATGAGAAGAATGAGGTTCAATAATGCCGGGAGGGAGAGCATCAAAGGAAGCATAAGATTATGAAACACCTTTGGTCCTTTTCCAAGACGCAGGATGTGAATGATCCGTGAGAGAAGTATCAGTTTCACAAGTGAAGGAGGCACAAGGTAGTAGCCTACTGTCATAGGCAGACATAGTCCTGGGGGTGGGAAAATATAAGGCAGGCTATATAATTATTCAGATACAATTACATTTTAAAGACTACAAATTATTTTACACTTAATTGTTTTTCCCTATATTTTATTAATCCTTTATTAATTCCTTCCATTTTACTAATCATTCTCATTTAACAGCATGTTGAAAGTGCAGGTCAGCCAAACACCAATTGTATCAATGCTCAGGTATCTAGGTAAATTTGGAAGATTATTTTTATGTAACATCATTTTTTTTTTCTTTTCTTTTCTTTTTTTTTTTTTCTTGAGACGGAGTTTCTCTCTTGTTACCCAGGCTGGAGTGCAATGGCGTGATCTCCGCTCGCCGCAACCTCCGCCTCCCGGGTTCAGGCAATTCTCCTGCCTCAGCCTCCTGAGTAGCTGGGACTACAGGCACGTGCCACCATGCCCAGATAATTTTTATTTTTAGTAGAGACGGGGTTTCACTATGTTGACCAGGATGGTCTCGATCTCTTGACCTTGTGATCCACCCGCCTCGGCCTCCCAAAGTGCTGGGATTACAGGCGTGAGCCACCACGCCCGGCCCCATGTAACATCATCTTAAGAGTATTATAGATCAAGTTCTTCTGGAATTACAGATGACCTGATTCTATAATCTAGGACTATAGTCATAATTTTTTTATTGCTGTTGAAGACATTTAGTTCCATGCAACCTTGATTGAATACCTAATAAATTTATCACACAAATATGCAAAGATGAATGACATGAATTCTGTCTTCAGAAAACTTATAATTTAGAATTATTTTAAGCTGGACATTTAAAATAAGGCAGAAAGACCTAATTGATAAATATAATTACATAAATGTCTGGCATTCAGTTATTCATAGATTGTAATTTAATTTATTTCATAAATAGTACTGGGGCTCCAGGAATTTTAAATGTGAACTGAATAAACAAGTCTTTGTTTAGAACTTTTTTGTAGCTATAATAGTTAGATGAGTAAGATATGGCAGTGATTAAAACAAGAAATGTAAAACAAGATAAAATTATAATTACAAAGGTATAAGAGATATTCTCTGGAAGCATTAGAGAGAATGTAGTTTATTCTGAGTTGAGATGGTAGTGGAAAGAAGAATCCCATGAGGCTTCTAAGTGATATGGTAGGTTTGTTGAATCTGGAGGAATCACGTCTCAAATTTTTGCTAAACTTGGTGATAATTCCCTCTGATGTTCTATCCTCACCCTATCTCTATTCATTCCCATCACTAAATTTTTTAACCCAATTTCTTTTTCTTTCAAGGGTGTGGTTCTTTTTTTAAAATTTTTTGTTTTTCTTTATTTTTTCTAAAGAAACCCACCTGGATACATGTACTGAACATGCAGGTTTGTTACACAGGTATATGTGTGCCATGGTGGTTTGTTGCACCTATCACCCAGTCCTCTAGGTTCCCTCCCCTCATTCCCCAGCCTCCAACAGGCCCTGGTGTGTGTTGTTCTCCTCCCTGTGCCCATGTGTTTTCATTGTTCGAACTCCCATTTATGAGTGAGAACATGTGGTGTTTGGTTTTCTGTTCCTGTTTTAGTTTGCTGAGGATGATGGCTAAATCTGCCTCTATCTTGAAACCCTCTCAAATGCAGGGAGCTCATTTTTCCCCACTCCACTTTCCTTGGGTCAGAAAGAAAAAAAATATGTATCTTTCTTTCTTTCTAATGTGATTTCTGGTCACTTTTCCTTCCTATTATTTTTATAAAGAAAAAATAAAATAAGTTTTTGACACTTTGTGGATCATGCCATTCAATGACATCATTTCCTACCGCTCCTTGGCTTTATGGTCTACTCATTCTTCAGTCATTTTCATTGAAGACTTCAATAATTGACTTCCTGTCTCTCATTTCACCTTAGCACCTACCATCAACAACCCATTTAAAGCCAGTTTCTGTCTTTGGTCTTCTCAGGTTATTACACTCTTCTCCATCATTTTACAAATCCACATTTATAACCACGTTCTGGTCTGGACCCAGGATACCTTGCCTTCTGAAACTTAAACTGTTTTCTCTCTGACTGCAATTGCTTTTCCTTCCTGTTCTCTGATGAAGTTCTCTTCATTCTCATAGGACCCTAATACCATCAATCCTCTGCCTTCTTCCAATCAGCTCCTTCCTGTCTTCATGTACTTTTCTACCAGTTTTTCTAATAGCTTCTTTTCTGAAGCTTCTTACAGTTTCTTGGTAGTTAGTTGCATTGTTTCCACTATCAACTGAATGAGTGACTATTTGGAAGCCTATCTGGGCAAACAGTTTATCTACATTTTCTACTACTCAATACATAGAATAGTAAACTCTTAAATATTGTTTCTACTCTCATGGAACTTACATCCTAATATGTGTGCTATTCCCCATAACAGTAGAAACAGTAAACTCTTAAATATTGTTTCTATTCTCATGGAACTTATATCCTAATATGTGTGTTATGGGGAAGCAGACAATCTTCTCTCTATCTGAAACTCTTTGACACTAAATTCTCTGCCTGGCTATCTCCTTACCTGAAAAGTCTCTGAGTAGATTTCACATCTTCCATAAAGTTTTCTCTTATCTCTACTTACTGATGAGGTCACCTCCTTCTGCTGTGCTGCTGCAGCACCTTGTGCCTTCCCTACCAAAACCTTAATAGCATGGTATTAAAATGTACTTTTTAATTATCTATATCCTTTAATAGACTCCAAGCTATGCATACACAGAAATTATGCCTATCTTGTTTACTACTAAATTTTTTGCATATGGCACAATATTTATTCACATAAAAAATAATCAAGTGTATTTACTAAATAAAAGAGCAAGATCTCCAAAGTAAGAGAAAACAAAAAAGAAATTTATTAAAGCCTGAAACTCTAGCATTTGTAAATTATAAATAGTTTCAGAGATTAGAGGGAAGGAAATAATAGTGAACTTGAAAGGTTACATCATTCTAAGACATAAAATCTTTCTAGTGTCATCTAGAAAATCAACGTATATTACAACATATATTATAAAACTAACCTATATATGAAGGTAACACATATATACCAGGTGACTAAGCATTCACCTGGTAGCTTGTGATGCAAAGTCTTTGTTATTCAAGAAATATTTTTGAACATCTTATCTCTATCTGGCATGGTGGTATATGAAGGAATACAAATGTGAAGCATTCCTGTTGAAAGTTTTTAAAAAATCTCTACCTGTTTTGCTTATTAGAAGACTATATTTCATGAGATATTTACTGTAAGAGTTTGCTTGAATTAATATTATTATGAATAAAATTTGACTAAACAAAATCTTACCTGTGATGGAGAAAATAACCACCATAAAATCAAAAATGTTCCATGCAATGGTGAAATAAAAACAACGGAAAGCGATGAGCTTCAGTATACATTCCATGGTATATAGAACAACAAAAATTAAGTTAATCCAGTAGAGAGCAATGTACATTTGTAGACTATGTTCATCAGTGTCTATCATCATGGCTATTGCTTGGAAACATATAAGAACCATAACGATGACATTAAAAACTTGGCTTGTTACCAAGTCAAAAATGAGTCCTTGGAGCTTGTTCTGTGGGGAAAAGAAAAAAAAAAAAAAAAAAAGCAAACAAAAAAAAAAACAAAACAGGTGTAATAGTCCTATTAATAGAATACATATACCTATATACAGTCTTTATACTCTGCAGCTTTCTTCCCAAAATAAATAGGAGAGTAAGTGTGAACCTAAATTTTTGCCAAACTATAATGTATAGTCAAAACAAACAAAATGACCATTAAAAGCTTTGTCAAGGGACCCAAAAATTTTGCCAAAAGCATTTGTTAGGGTTTTTTTTTTTTTTTTTTCTTTTTTTTTTTTTTTATTGCATTTTAGGTTTTGGGGTACATGTGATGAACATGCAAGATTGTTCCATAGGTACACACATGGCAGTGTGCTTTGCTGCCTCCCGTCCCCTCACCTGTATCTGTCATTTCTCCCCATGCTATCTCTTCCCACCTCCCCACCCCCCGCCCCTCCCCCATTTCCCCCCAACAGACCCCAGTGTGTAGTGCTCCCCTCCCTGTGTCCATGTGTTCTCATTGTTCAACACCCGCCTATGAGCGAGAATATACGGTGTTTGATTTTCTGCTCTTGTGTCAGTTTGCTGAGAATGATGGTTTCCAGCTTCATCCATGTCCCTATAAAGGACGTGAACTCATCGTTTTTGATGGCTGCATAATATTCCATGGTGTATATGTACCACATTTTCCCTATCCAGTCTATCATCGTTGGGCATTTGGGTTGGTTCCAGGTCTTTGCTATTGTAAACAGTGCTGCAATGAACATTCGTGTGCACGTGTCCTTGTAGTAGAATGATTTATAATCCTTTGGATATATACCCAGTAATGGGATTTAGGGTTTTAAAAAGAGATTATATAAAAAACACTTCTATTGAAGTTTCAAAAAATCTAGACATTTTCTTACTCGTGGGCGAGGTATTGGTCTTTGAGAGTCCTCATACATTAGCTTCTTCAGCCTGGAGTACTGTTTCCTCTGCTTAACTGTTATAAAGATATTTGAGCCTCCCAGGTAATGAAAAGAAAGAAAAAGACATTAAAATCACACTTAATCCAAATTTTCCCTTATGTTACTATGCCTTTTAAAGACTTGGCAATTACTGATTTAATCCTCTAAAAAAGGCTTAACTGCAATGAATGAAATCATGTTTGAACATATTTGACTTTCTGCCAAAAATCCATAAAAAGCACATACAGAATTACATGCCAATAGCGACCAAAATTCAGTAATCTCTAAGCACACTCTCCTTGGAGATTTTCAACCCTATTTTCACGTATGGTTATATAAAGGAATAAAGGAGGTATGTGGAAATATTTACTAAGAAAGGTTGAGCTCAATAGCTAAAGGAAAAGTTGATCTGTGTCTTTCAGTAAGCAGAAATAAACAGAAATAATCATATGTGATCATTTTTATATGACTGCATATTGCTTTATTTTTCAAATACTATCAGAAGATATTTTTTACTATTATTCCAAAAGTGCCTTGTGCTTGCTTCTTCACAGCACGTTTGAGGGCTCATTCATTTTTGTGTTTCTAGTGCTAATTTCAGTATCTTATCTAATATATGTGAAGTGAATCATGTCATGTCCTAGGAATTAGGAACTATTTTCTCTAAATTAGGACCCAGTCACTTAAATTGACAGCAGTCACCAATTCAAAGCCTAGAAGCAAATCTAGTATATTATCTTACACGGTCGATACTCGTAGAAGGCTGAAGCATCCCAACAAAATCACATTTTATCACTCAGCTCGCTACTCCTATGTCATTATGGAGACTCAAGAGTGAAATACAGTCGTCTCCCCTCATCTGAAGTTTCACTTTCCACAGTGTCAGTTAGCCATGGTCAACCACAGTTGGAAATTATTACATGAAGAATTCTAAAAGTAAATAGTTAAATACATTTTAAATTTCATGTGAGTCTGAGTAGTGTGGTAAAATCTTGTGCCATCCTGCTCTGCGGAGACTGGGATGTGAATCATCCGTTTGTCCAGCATAGCCACTCGGTCTATGCCACCCACACATTAGTCACTTTGCAGCCATCTCTGTTATTGCAGTGATTGTGTTCAAGTCATGCTTATTTTAATTAATAACCCCCAAAAGCAAGAGAAATGATGCCGGCATTCAGATGTGCCAAAGAGAAGCTGCAAAGTGGCAAAGTACTTTCTTTAAGAGAAAAGGTGAAAATGCTGGCCTGAAGGAGAGAAAAAACAATATGTTGAGGTTGCTAAATCTATGGTATGCATGAATCTTCTGTCCATGAAATTGTGAAGAACAAAAAACAAATTATGCTTGATTTGCTGTTGTACCTCAAACTGCAAATGGCCACAGTGCATGAGAAGCCTTAGTCATGGAAAAGACATCTTAACACAAACAGAAACGTGTTCTGATTTACAGCAATCAGGTTCGGTACTACCCTGTGGTTTCAGGTATCACTGGATAAGGAGTATCTACTATACCAGATTTTACACATGGCTAAAGTTTGATTACATGGCTGAAGATAAAATTTCAACATTAAACTATTCTTTGCTTTGACTTTTTTGGAAGGCTTTCCAAAAGAGATTAGGTACCTGTGTACAATAAGTTGACTTAGATGTCTTTTGAATTCTTTGCATTTGTGGAGGCCCTGAAGGGAGTCTCCTTTTAGAAACGGCATGAAACGTAGTTATTGAATTCTGTCCCTGAATTCTGTCTTATCGGGTTCAAGCACTCCTACTTAGTCCATCCAATTAGGATTTATGACTCTCTCTACTTCTAGCAGAAAGAGCTACTCTAACTTAGAAAGATGTCCATGCTGGCTATGATTATAAAGTCTTTAAATCTAACAAAGTAAAGAGTATTTTTTTCTTGACGTCTTCACATATTTGTGAAGATACAAAATTTTACTTACTGTAGTTATTTTTTAGCACATCATTATTTTCAAAACATATATATACAGACACTTGTAATTGTTACTTTTAAACTTGACTGTGTAGTACCTATTTTGGATTTAGAAATCAATGTAAAGATGAACATTTTAGCAATGTTCATCAATGTGCAAGAACATTAATCATGATTTTTAAAGATAGATGTCAAATAAAATGACATTAAGCTGAATCCAAAGCCAATTATTTGAAGCAGGGCATTTACATATATATATATGCTTGATTTTCTCAGATATTGGATAAACAAATAATATTTATACTTATCTCTATTTTATGCTTGTTGAAATTATCAGCAATAACACTAATCAGCATACTCAGTGGAAGAAATACTCCAAGTATAATAAAGTTGATAAAGTAATAATACATGTAGATGTTGTCTTCAAAACGAGGCTGCATATTTATCTAGAAGTTTAAAATAAGCAAATTATTGATATCAGCTTTTAAAAAAAAGTTTTATAAAACAATTTATGACAAGAAAACCCAACAACGCTACCTAAGGAAGTGTTTTCTTTTTTGCTCTTTGGCAAAAGGATATCACTGCTTTGTTTATTTGTATTTTAAAGTTTACCTCATTCGTCATTGTTGCAAAGTCTGATCATCTTTCAAATGGGCCTATGGGGCTTCAATCATTGTATATAATAACCATGAAAGAATTTCATTGCTAGTGAAATTCCCAATCTGAAATGCATTTGATTTCTATTAATTATTACTGGTGTTCTGTGCTTGAATTACAAAAGTGACTTTGCTTGTATCCTAACAATGGCTTTAAAATGATATTATACTTACTGCCACAGAATCAATTGCTGAATTCATAATAGTGATCCATCCATTAAATGTTGCCTGTAAAAATGACATGCATTTATAAGTCTTATGAAAATTTATACTTCATGGAAAATTAAAATTAAAATTTCAATCTGTTATTAGTACACTGAAACATTTGATACAGGCTTGCCACACTTCTACATACTGTGTAATTGAGATCTTTAATATTTTCATTATTATACTGTCTGTTAACAACTATTTCAAGTACTTAGTTTATTCGTAGTTAGTAACAAAATATTTTAAGGTAATATGACTAGAAAAAGATAGAGAAACAGATATATAAATGGTAAATAAATACATGCTGCCATGTGTCATGGTGACTTGTGGCTGCTATACATATGCTTTTCTGTGAGAGATATAAGAGGAATTGTTCACTTCTTCATATCTGCTAGATATTGAGTCACTGGGTAGCAGTTCCTCAAAATACTAAAGAGATAAAAACAAGTGACTTGGATGGGACCAAAGAATTATTACCTCTGATAGTTAATGTTTAGTGTCAATTTGATTGAAGGATGCAAAGTACTGATCCTGGGTGTGTCTGTGAGGATGTTGCCAAAGGACATTAACGTTTAAGTCAGTGGGCTGGGCAAGGCAGTCCCACCCTTAATCTGATGGGCACAATCTTAACAGCTGCCAGTGAATATAAAGCAGGCAGAAAAATGTGAAAAGGCTAGACTGGCCTAGGCTCCCAGCCTACATCTTTCTCTCATGCTGGATGCTTCCTGCCCTTGAACATTGGACTCCAGGTTCTTCAGTTTTGACACTCAGACTGGCTCTCCTTGCTCCTCAAGCTTGGAGACAGCCTATTGTGGGATTCTGCGATCATGTAAGTTAATACTTAATAAACTCCTATATATATATATATATATCCTATTAGTATATATACATATAATGTATATACTGTTCCTCCAGGGAATCCTGACTAATAAATTATCCTATAACATGATCAGTGGTGGTTAAAATACTTTGGGCCAGTACCTGCATTTCCTCTGTTAAATTTTCCTGCATCTCTACTTCTTTATTCCAGTAGGACAGGGGTAATATTTAACTTTTGTCTCTTTAAATGAGTCTAGTGTTGTATGTCCCATTACATTTATCTACTAATTGCTAAAATGTTTTATAACCAAATGTATTAATTTTCCACACTTTGTCATTTGCATTCAACCTACAATATGGATGAATATATAATTAATAAGGAAAAGTCAAAAGTGTACTTACTAGTTGAAGCAGAGAAAGGAAACCATTTCCAACATTATCAAAGTTCAGTTTTGCATTTTCCCATGGCATGGAGTCATTAAACAGAAGGCTTTCACACTGACTCTTATTCATGACTTCAGATGAAGGAAACCTTTCTCCACTTGTTGGGTCAATGCATTCATAGAACTTGCCAGCAAATAAGTGTACTCCCATGATACTAAAAGTCAGCCAGATCATCAGGCAGACAAGAAACACATTCAAAGTGGGTAAGGTTGTTTTGATCAAAGCTCTCACAACCACCTGGCATATTTAAAAAAATGTAGACTTTAGATAAGAAATGTGAAATTGTTTTAATTTTTGATCAGATTGAAAAATACTAATTGATACAATGTCATACATTAAAAAAAGAACCGAAAAGGCCATATCTAAAGATTTAACAGCCTACATGCTGGTACTGAAATAACCTAAATAGCAATTGAATTTTTATCTAAAAAAATACATTCAAATCTAGATATTCTTAAAATGTTTGTACTAAAAAATCATTAAATGAAAACTGAGCTGATTAGCACAAATACTAAAATAAATACTATAATAATTATTTCACTGGCTTAATATATATATAATGTATATTTTATATATAATATATAGTATTTATTATATATCAAGATATACAATATGTATGTTATATATCTATCTTATATATTATACATAAGATATATATCTTATATATAATACATAAGATATACATATCTTATATATAATACATAAGATATACATATATCTTACATATATAAGATATAGATGCTTATTGATATATATTATACATTATATATATTGAATATCTCATAAGATATATATCAATAAGATATATATCAATAAACATCTATATCTTATATATAAGATATATAAGATATATAAGATATAATATATAATTATATGTAAGATGTAATATGCATTATATATTATACAATATATAATGTGTAAGATATATAATATATGATATATATCAGATTATAAGATATACGCTTATATATGCATATAAAAGATATATAATATATATGATATATATGCTTATTGATTTCCTGTAGTTTGACAGAAGTAATTCAAGATAACTGAACCTGTGTGTATGTATGAGATTATCTTAAAATACATATATTAGATTTTAAGTGAAATATAACATGTGAATGAGTAGTCAGGGGAATCAGAAGACCAAGAGATTGTACTGTCAATGAAGCTAAGGCTTCAGGAAGCTAAATGGGTTGCTGTACTTGACAAGGATTCAATCCTCACTGAACCATTTGGTGTCACTGGTGAGTCACTCCAGAGTAGGAGTAAAATTCAAATTAGAATTGTCTTCTTATTACTCCACTGAAGCTGCTATGGCAAATGCAAATCAGTTGCTATATCTAGTATCATAGTTTTAATATTTCCACTACTTATGTTTCTCCTAGCCTTTTTTTTTTTTTTTTTTTTTTTTTGAGACCACATTTTACTCTTTTTGCCCAGGCTGGAGTACAATGGCCCGATCTTGGCTCACTGCAACCTCCACCTCCTGGGTTCAAGTGATTCTCAGGCCTCAGCCTCCCGAGTAGATGATGAGATTACAGACACACATCACCATGCTAGCCTCACTTTTTTTTTTTTTTTTTTTTTTTCGTACTTTTAGTAGAGACAGGGTTTTACCATGTTGGTCTGGCTGGTCTTGAGCTCCTGATCTCAGGTGATCCACCCATCTAGGCCTCCCAAAGAGTGCTGGGACTACAGGCATGAGCCACTGTGCTCAGCCTCTCTTAATTTTATACTTTTGATTTCCCTCTCCTGACCTTTCCTCTTTCACTTTATTCCTGAGGCACCATTGACTCTGTTTTCTACCATTCCAACCTTTCCTTCCTTCAACCATTACTAGATACTAATCCTTTTGCCTGTACATTCTTGCTATGTTGCATAGTTGTCTGTCTTTGAATTAATATTTTGGCTTTTAATTGAGCTTTCAGTAACACTTTTATTTCTAAAACCAGATCACAGATCTTTTGCTAATACTTTTAAATATTTTAAAAGGTATACTGATGATTCTGCTGAAGAAAAGTGCCATGTGTCTTAGAAAATCCATATATATAGAATAAAAACTGTGGATATAGTTGACACATACATTTGAAAAGTAGACAGTACCTATGACCTTAAACTTATTAAAGACATAATCATTAATTGTGCATGTAGCTTCCTAATATAATGATATATCTTCAGCGATCATTTACAGAACTTCCAGAGGTTGAAAGGAGGCTTCAGGATCTGAACCTAACTTTGACCTAAGCATGGCTACTGTTTTCCTGACCTTGAATTGTCCACAGCCATTGTCTCATTGCCAGAACATTAAATGTTACAGTGCCTAATTTCTCACAGAGTCAGTTACCCTGGCAAATATCTTCCTGCTTTTTCTAAATTGGGGCAACCTGTTGATTTTGTTGGCTTTTTTCTCTACATATGTCTACATTTACTAAGAAAAAAAAATTGGTATTGTCTTTGTTTAAAAAATAAGAGTTTATTTTATTTTCATATTTATTTAGGGGTGTGTGTGTGTGTGTGTGTGTGTGTGTGTGTGTGTTTTGAGTAAATAGGCCCTCTGTAATTTACATGTTAGAATATTCTATAATGTTTTCCTAGCACTAAACTGTATTTATGTATTTATACTGTATATGTGGCTATCTTTTTTTTCTTTTTTTGAGACAGTCTTACTCTGTCACCCAGTCTGGAGTGTATTGGAGCAATCTTGGCTTACGGCAGCCTCGACCTCCCAGGCTCAGGTGATCCTCTCACCTCATCTCATCTTAGCATCTCAAGTAGCAGGGACTACAGGTGCACACACCACAGCTGGCTAATTTTTGTAATTTTTGTAGAGACAGGGTCTCATTATGTTACCCAAGCTGGTCTCAAACTCCTGAGCTCAAGTGATCTGGCCCCTCCGTCTCCCAAACTGCTAGGACTACAGGTGTAAGCCACCGTGCTGGGCTTGTTTTGTCATTTTAACTTCAATCTTATAGAACCATTAAATCACCTTCTTTTCAGCTTATTTTCTACTTTATTTTGGTTTAAAAGCACTGGGGAATATCACCACCTTGTGGATCTTCATGACATGGTTAATGAAGTCTGTTTCTTAAGTTATCATATAAGTTACAATTATTATTTTAGATTTTTTGTTTCTGAGGTTTATAAATGAAATTTTATAATTGGAATTTTTATGTATTTGCCACATAATCAAAATATTAACTTCCCAACATAAGTAAATGTATTTAAGAAACAGATCTGCCCTAAGTACTATTGTAATGAGTCAACCAGACATTTGTACGAATTATAAGAATATTATCATCAATCATGGACTAAGTATATATACAAATATAATTAATGTACTTAAGAACTGGTACTTATAAATCTATATATGTACACAATCATATAAAAGTGGTATTAAAATTTCTGAAATTGTATTTAAAATAAAACATGTATTTTAAACTATATTTCTGTTTGTATTTATAATAATCACTCAAATTTCGAGAGAAAAATAAACATTCATTTTTTATCAAGTAGAAAGAATTTAAGTGTTATGGTTTCTTAACTGTAGTTTAAACGTAACATATAACGCGTCAACTATAGAGATAAAGGCTAAGCATTAGTAATTTTCTCATTAGATTCTACCATTGCAATGAATATGTGATATTAGGTAGTAATCAAAGTGCCAGACTGACATAAGAAAAATCTATGTAAATAAAAATACAAAAACACATAAAGGTATGATTATAAAATAAAAGGTACATTTGAACGTGTTCTGCCATTTCTGTATACAATAGGTCACACTGTATAGTTACATACTTATATTACTTAAGGTGGTCACAGACTTCATTTTTTAAAAATTATGTTGAGCCTATGGGATTTCTATTTTAGGCACAAAAAATTGAACACTGGCCATTTTATAATATTCAATCTATTAATTTTCTTTACATTGTTTAGAAGAGGTTTTAACATGTGAGTGAAGAAGACAGGACAGGTAATTGTTACATTAAAAATAGTAAATTTATCTTAAAATTCAAACTTTTCTTTCATTCAGTGAGTAATCACTTAGTATATACAATGTATAATTTTTTTTTTTTTTTTTTTTTTGAGACAGAGTTTCGCTCTTGTTACCCAGGCTGGAGTGCAATGGCGCGATCTCGGCTCACCGCAACCATCGCCTCCTGGGTTCAAGCAATTCTCCTGCCTCAGCCTCCTGAGTAGCTGGGATTACAGGCACGCGCCACCATGCCCAGCTAATGTTTTGTATTTTTAGTAGAGACGGGGTTTCACCATGTTGACCAGGATGGTCTCAATCTCTTGACCTCGTGATCCACCCGCCTCGGCCTCCCAAAGTGCTGGGATTACAGGCTTGAGCCACCGCGCCTGGCCTACAACGTATAATTTTAAAGTTTGTTAACTGATCAAAGTTTTATTTTCTGACAAATTTTTTAAATGGAGACAATTTCATTAATATGAACATGTATATGAGGTAAAAATATACTTTTCAAACTATGTTTTCTCTCTCAAATACTAGTTTCTTTTACTTATCTTTACTAGTTTTTATACCTTAGGAGCAGTAAGAACGTAAAATCTTAATAAGCATTGCTAATGTACTTACTCCTCTCTAAGTAATGAAATTTAAGGTTTTTTGTATTAATATTGTTAAAGGTACAAAAGAGAAAACAACAAATCTTATCAATTTGTGCAAATTTAGTATTTCCAAATAAAAATCTGTAGATTAGCTTTGAAACTTATCTCTTACCTTCATTCTTTCAAACTGAGATAGAACTCTGAGGGGCCGAAGAAATTTAATGGAAATAAGTGGTTTTAGTTCTTCCCGAGTTTTCCCTATTAAGCTAAGACAAAACACCTATATATGTATTTAAAAAAAAAAGAGTAAATAGGATTCCATATTAATAAAAATAACATGTAAAATAAACTTTGTATTTATCACAACAGAGCTACACAATAAAAACTTACCAGTAAATTTGTGAATTATTTTTACATATATTTCAAAATACATAAAGTTATAAGAAAACCGTTCAGTGTTAAAATCACTTTATAAAAATTAAACTTTTCTGGTAATAAGGAACATATTTTAGTGAGATAAATAAAGGTTATATATTTTATATTCTTTATGATCAATGATTTATAGTTATATCTTTTTTTAGTTTGAAATTAGATTAAGAATCAGTTTCATAATTACTTGTAACACAATAATGGTATGCAGTGTGTTCATTAAAACAAAATAGAAAATATATTTACAAATGCATTTATATACAAATATGGTTAAGACAACACACAAGATAGGCTTTCAGACGATAGGCATCAAGAAAGATATGAATATTGTTATGTCAAAAGTATATACATTACAAAAAAAGTGTAACCAGATACTAAGGTAAAATTTTAAAAGGAAACATATTTAAGGTTAACAAATGTTCATAAATAGTGAGTAAGAAGGTAAGGCTAAGATTAACTTTTATTATATCTTCAGATTTTTCTATATTTTCAAGTCAACATATATGAAATATTTCTTTTTACACTTAATTAAAGAGAGAATCTTGAAATGGGCTTTGAAGTTTGGGTATCATTTTCATAAGCATGAAGGAATCTGGACCCAGAAGAACAATGACTAGGAAATAGGAAGTCAAGTTGCGGGTATAGAATGGTTTGGCTAGAGTAGAAGATTAATTTTAAAGAACTAACTTAGAAAAGAGAGGTCAGCTATTTTAAATCGTTAATTATAGATCGAGGAGCTTCTATCGTTGTTTATAGAATCAAAAGCCATTCATTCATTCAACAAATTACTGAGAACCTTCTAATATGATAGAAATTGTTCTAGGCACAGGACTTAAAGGAGGAAAAAAAAAAAAAAAAAAAAAAAAAAAAAAAAAAAAAAAACAAGAAAAAAAAATTCTACCTTAATGGAACTTACTGGGAGAAAATAGACAATAAAAAAAATAAATGAACAAATGGTATAATATTAATAAGGGGTATGGAGATGAAGTAAGCAGACAAACAGAAAGGGAATGTTGGAGTGATTGCAGTTTTAAATAGGGTTGTAAGGAAAGACTTTCAAAGGTTTCATTTTTGCTAAGGCATAAATGCCAGGAAAGTTCCAGGTGGAAAGAAAAATAAGTGCACAGGCACTAAGATGAAAATAATCTTGGCATATTTGAGGTTCTCCATGAAAGCTGGTGCTGGTAGATCAGTAAACAAACCTGGACAGGGAAAGGGAGAATAGCAGGGAATACGTTTGGATTACACAGAGACTTGTGGAGCACTGATTGCAAAGATTGTTGATTTTACCCTGAATGAGATGTGTATTTACCATAAGGTTTCAAGAGAAGTGACATGATCTGACTTCCATTTCACAACAGTTCCTCTGGTTACCATGTGGAAAACAGAATGAAGGTGTGCAGAACAGAAGCAGGGACACAACTCGGAATCTATTATAGAAATCTAAATGAGAAATTTGGGGAGCTTGGACCAGCCCAGTACTGGTCAACATCGTAAGTAGTCTAATTGTGATATATGACTTAAGAGTTGAGCCAATGGAAGAATTAAAAATTTTAGGGTGCTAATATATCTTCAGGATACTGTGCAATAAATTTATATGGTTAGCAGTATATTCCAGGTGATTATTATAATAATCCAGAAATAAAGTGTTGAACTTTTTAAATTTTGAATGAGAAGAAAATGCTAGATGTTAAGCATTACAAACTAAGAAAGATGTCATGTACCGACAATGCAGAGAGAGAGGGAAAGGAAAAATATAATAAATTGAGAGGAAGTGAAAGAGTAAGAGTGAAGAAGAAAGGGTAAATCAAATAGCCTTTTAAATTGTCTTTAAAATACTTACAATAACAACCATGAAGTCCAGCCTGTACCAGCTGTTAGAGAAATAGGCTTTAAAACCATATGCCATCCATTTTAGAAGCATTTCTAGAATGAAGATGTAAGTGAAGATCATGTCAGCATATTCTAATAAAATTTTAACTGTCTTTCTCTGATCGATATATATATCTTCAAGAGTCTGTGGGTAAAAAAAACGAAAGTAAAGATTAGGTGTACATGTAGTTTCTAAAAACTCTTTTGATATAGAAGGGAACAAAATTTCACCTCTAATTAGCATATGGTGAGCACTGTCAGAGGTTGTAGGCTCAAGGCCTGGTTCACTATGCTTGTATTTATTGACATAATTCATAAGCACTATTATTTGATGCCATGCCTATGGCAGGCATCATTAATTAATCACAGAACTACTTCTTATAGAGACTGAACCTGGCTTCATAATTGTTTTAAACGATGATCCAAAAATCCCCTCCAAAATCAGTTATTCAAACTTAACATGAAAGACAAAACCTTTAGTCATATCTGACATGGATCTTATCTGTAATTCCAGCTAGCCAACACACAGATGTATGCCACTTACTCACAGAGAAACAGATATGTTTTTTAAGTGTCTTTAGAAATTCATAAGGCTATCAGGTAAACCAGTTGAAACACTGAAGATTATTAAAACTATAACTGGTCTCTCCAAAGCTTCTCAGTTTTAATGTCAACCTTAATTTTACCATGGAATATGTAAAGTCTGATCACGTCATCGAAAGCAGTTTCATAAATATTATAGCATTGAAAACAGGCAGGCAGACTTTCAGTATCAATACACATAAAAGAACAAAAAAGGTAAGCAAGAATTAAAATTAAAACCTACTGTTAAATGGAAGTAAACACAAAATAACAACAGATTTTATGACTTTTAATTGAACCAATTATGGCATAAAAGTGTCCATAAAGATTATAAATATCAAGTTATTTAAAAATTTTATTTTGTTACATGTATTTATTCATTATTCAATTATTCAGATACATAATGCAAAACATAACACAAAAGATGTACAAAAGCCTCCACTTCAATTAGCATGGGTAGAGTAGACTTCACCAGACCAGTGATCCTGCTGCAAAGAACTAGAAAAACAGTATACAGTTTAAAAAGCATTTGTTTTTAAAGGCATCACAGAACTGCTGTATCAATAAAAAGCAAATGGGCCCTAGCTGTAGAAAGGAGAAGCTCAAGAATATGTTCAGAACAAAAAGATTTATCATGTAAATTCTAATAAAAATAAAGTTAATATCAAATTAGGCAAGATACATAACTTAGGATAGTTCAGAATAATAGAGAGATCAATACTACAAGTGTACATTTGTACATCCAAAATAATGAGTCATCAAAATATATAAACAAAAACCTATGCCAATAACAGAAAATTTGGGAAAAAAAAAAAGCAATCATGATGGGATGATTTAACACATTCTTTCTGTAGCTAACAAAAGAAAAACATCTTTTCTGTATCACTAAGGATATAGTAGATGGAACCAATGGAAATAAGAAACTATAATTGCACCCAGGTACAGCATATGACATATGCTTTTCAAGTACACATTGAACACTGTAGTAGACATTGGAGCTGTGCACCAAGACTCCTTTACTGGCAAATCTACCTATTCCACAGCGACTGAGTATTGCTTGATAGCACACAACTGAAGCCCTCTTCGGAGAATTGCCTTTGCTAAAGAAGGGCTACCCCACCTGAGAGGCAATGTTTCCACTCCTAGAGGGACCCAACAAAATCAACGGCTGAATGACATAGAGATATAAATGCCAGCCCCTTTGAAGCACTCAAGGTGGAACTGTGTGGTGCAGTTTGGGCTACAGAGCCTCCCTACAAGATCGAGCTGAATCGAGTCTTTCTTGAGGATTCTGAAGAGGCCTACAATAGGGTAGGTGTCTTTTAAAAACTCTCTTTAAGGTCTACGTCTACCTCCCCTCCTGGCCATCACATGTATAAGAAGAGTCAACTCTCTTCATACAGTGGCCTGGGAAGTACTAAGATTGCTAAGGAAAGAGAAGGATTATATACCAGAAAACCTGATACCTATGCAGGACCTAGAAACATGTACTAGCAAGAAATGGAGGAGCATTCCTGGGAATGGATCCAGAGAGGACTGCGTATTAGTTTCCTATTGCGACTGTAACAGATTGCCACAAATTTAGTGGTTTAAAAACAAAGTTTTTAAGTAGAAGCATAATATAGTAGTTTTGGATGTGCAAATTATTAAAATGTTTCACACATGAAACTTCAAACTTCATAATAATCAGAAGAATTAGGTATCTATTCACATTCTATTTTTCCAATGTTACTCATATATTTTGAAATTCAATTGCAAAATAATATACTAAAAAGCAATATTAAATTTAATATTGAATGATGCATAAACTTTCTAAGAAAGTATAATATTTAGATTTTAAAACTAAAATCACAAAATATGAAATGTAGCATTTTTTGGTGCTATACTACGTATTTTTGGAAATGTAACCCCGGTGTTGACTTTCTGAATTAACAGAATTATAATACATTTGTCCCCAGCAAAGTATCAAGCACCCCGGCTGCTCACTTACTAGAGTGCTAGTGCTGAGCAGAGTAACAAGACCAATAAAACACTTAAACCAATTGTTCTCTACGATCTTGCAGCAAGTTTTCCTGATGTTCCGACAGATTTTTCCTTTCTTAGATGCTCCACTGATTTGACCAAGTGAAGATGCACGTCCATAGCCTGTCAAGGATGGAACTGGTAAGAACGACAATCTAGAAAACTCACGAAAAAGTAAACACCTGAAACTTTCTATTATGTAGCATAGCAATTATTTATTTACAAATTCTAATCAAGGTAGTCTCTGATTTATAAATGTTTAATTTTTACCCATGGTGTAGTGACCACTGTAGTCCCTGAGGAGAAAAAGGAAAGCTGGACTTGTCAGTTTGGCAATAAGGAGAGGAAAGGCCTTGTGAAAAGCAGAAATGACTTAGAACATCCAGTCACTCTGGGAAACAGTCTGAGAGTAGATATTCACTAATACCACAAAAGAAAATATGCACAAATATCTCACTCACTCTAAATGTTACATTTTGATATAATGCCTAAAAATTTACTCTGAAGATTCACATGACATAACATAGATTCCCGTTTAAAAACCTAAATACTTATGAGATGTTAAGAGACATAAAATTAATTAAATTAAATTAATTGCTTTGATTCTAGTTCTTAGGTGGCATGGAAATGGGAATTTTGATTGAGACTATTACGGAGGTAACCTGGACTGTGGGGTACTTTGTGAGTAGAGTACATATATACAGGGCTGCACTCTACACTGTAGCCAAAAGGGTTAGCAAAATGGAAACCTGAGGCTAGAGAAGAGGTTGTTATACAGGTGATAAAACAAAGAAATGGAGGTTGGTGAGTTTCAAACCAAAACATTTTATTTTAGAATTTTTGTCTTGTGTTAAATTATACTATGAGAACTACTGTGGCAGTGAAATATTTTTGATAATGATGATTCCGAAACACATTTTTCATGCTGTAATATTGAGTAAAAATATATAATGTTCATATTTGATTTTAGACTGGTAGCTATACCACTGTGTGCTTTAGAATAAAGCATGATTTAGGAGTAAAACAGAAAATCAGTATAGTTAAAGCATCACTGAAATGTGTGTGTGTGTGTGTACACACACGCACACATATACCTATATATATTGAAGTCAAATGAAGTGTTCTTAGAGCTCATGAAATGGGGCCAATATTTAAGTTAGCTATATAAAAAACAGCCTGTAACTTTCAGAGGAAAACAAATTGTAATTGAGATATTTATATATTTAACATGAATATTAAGAAACATATAAGGCTTCAGTCAATTGACTGACACATTGGCTATGGAACATAAACGTTTCGACAATTTATAATTCAAATTAGTTTCCTAGCAAGTTTAACAAAATTTTCTTACCATTTTTAGGATGCTTTGACCTTGCATGTCCATAGACCATTTCTTCTTCTTCAGAGATAGCAATATCAACTGTACTGCATTCAGATGAGCTAGATTGCTTTATTTTCTAAAAAGTAAAGTCCCGCCAAAAAAGTTGTGAGTAAAGTTTCATTTATCCACTGTGGCTAAAGTTTATTTCATTTTCAGAAGTAAGAAAAAAATTGTACAGAAATAATATTATTAGGTTTAAAAGACTTTAGGCCAATTTAATGACTGATATTAAAATACAGATTGGTACAAGTTGAAGTTTAAATAATATTGTATGATACTTAATTTAAGCTAAAATAACATTTTAGATTAAAACTAATATTTAGTTAATAACATTTGTTCCTTAAAGATGTATAGGCTGTCTCCAATTCACAAAAGAATTTGGGGTCTTCTTGGAGTAAGTCACAAGTTTCTCATATATACTATTTCAATTAGATGAATAGACTAAAAACAAATCATCCCTTGATGCTAAAGATTGGTAGATAATAGTGCACTTAGGTTTCATTGTAAAATTCAGTACAGATGGTCTTATGTATGTCACCATAGGATGAGACTGACATGAATTTATCATGTAAAATGAGGAAAAGGCACAAGGAACAGGGACAAGGACAGGCCTAGGAAAGGGGCACAGTCTTATGAAAAGTGCTGGGTAGAATAAGGTGGCCATTGCTTTACACAGGTAATAGTGCAAATGATATTCTTTGCCTTTTTTTAATGTTATTTTCTCACAATGCTTTGTTTTACTTATTTAAAAATAAGTATGCCATAGGTCATTCTTTAAAATCACCAAAATTCTAAGGTTAATAGCATATAAGTAATATTTTCTAATTAAAACAAAAATTAAGGCAAGTGCATTTTAACATTTGGAATGAAACCAATCTTATTTCTTAAAAATTAAGAAAAAAATCTAAACAAAGTAGAGTGCCAAAAAAAAAAAAAAGAAAAGAAAAGAAATCATCAGTATTTTCTCCTACCTCTTGGACTTATACACAGTAAGTGCCAAAAAATATAATTAGAAAGCTTTTTTTGCAGTAGTCCTTACATGGTCAATTGTCAGTAAATCATTATAGCGCTCAACTAAAAATAAAAAAAGTATTCAGCAGAATATTACTCTTAAACAGATATTTTTATTATTTTCATTAGTTTTATATATTCTTGTAACATATTTTTTTGTAAAGCAGAAGTACATTGTGATCACTTTCTCATGCCATTAAATAATCTTCTATCAAAAAAAGATTTATAATTTGAGTCTTAATTGATTTATTATTTTGTTTTTAATGAAATAAAATCTATAGCAATATTTTTATTTGAGACTAGGCATTAAGTAATTTAAGTATAATATTTGGCACTCAATAACTAAAATTATACATCCTACATTTATATTTTTAAAGAGTTGTAAAAAGCCTTGTATATAACCCAGTTGATGTGATTTTTCCAAAATTCCTGTGTGATGGTATTATTCTAATTTTAAAAGTAAATCAGTTAAGACTCAAATTATAAATCATTTATCAATCATTTATTTTGATAGAAGATTAATGGCATGAGAAAGTGACTACGATGTACTTCTGCATCACACATACACACACAAATGAGTTACAAAATACAATGTCAATTTTGATGCTATTTTCATAATATACACTATAGAGAAATTTTTTTAAATAAAAATAGGCTGGAAGTGCAAATACCAAAGAAACAAGAGAGTGTATCTCTGAATTGTCAGATCATTTATAGTATTTTTGTGTTTTGGTTTTGGCTGTGGGTATATCAACATCCTAAGCAGTCATGGGCTACATCATCTAGAAAGCATATAACTAAATATACAACTAAATATATAAATAAATGAATAAAACTTTTGTGAGTAATCAATCAACAAGACCAAATAACTATGCAGCATAAATAACAACTGTAGTTTCAATATTTACAGTTATTTTAAATTACAGCTTTCCTATGTATTTTCATTCTCCAGAATTTCTAAGGAGACTAGCAAGTTTACAGGGACACTCCAACATGATGTGCTGTGGTAAACAGCAATTTTACCCAGAAATGGATAGTAATCAAAATCTTTAATGAACATTGAGAAGTGTGCTGAGTAAGAATTTCTGCCTGTTTTATAGTAACGGTATTAATTAAAAAGATAAATAAACTTTAGACTATTGGGCATAATGGATTGAAAATGTTTCTCTAAAATAAAGATGCCTTTAGTAGGTGATGGAAGGACTTTGAATAATTGAAGCTGAACTCCTATTAGAAAACCAATTTGTGAAGTTCTTGCAGAGAGCATCTGCCAAAACCCAAGAGGTCTGGGAAGCAAGATGGTGCCAGAGATGATGGGAACCTGAAGAAACATTTCCTGACCCTCTGGTGCCCTTGAGTAATCTGAAATGATTCCCTAGTGGGGCCCAAAGTAAAAAGCCCTTGTGCAGATGTGATCTCTGCAGGTGTAGCTTTCTATGAAACTACACTTCCTACTAAAACACAATGCTGCTTGCGAATGGAGACAATAAAACTGTTTCCAGCAGGGTGCATATTTTAGAAGCTAAGTGAACAATAGTATCTACCCTTCTTTGAATGTGATCCTGACATTTTTAGAAAGCCAGTGCATTATATAGCTACCACCTGTTCACAATTCAAACTGGTGGTTTTTAAAATTCTTTTTTTTAAAGAGATATCAGATAAGCTTTATTGGCTCAACAAAATTTTATAATCCTACTCTTTCCAATTCCTTCCTTTGAGATGTAATACATTACTGATTTATTTATTAGCCACTTCTCCCATTCTGTCCCAAACAGGAATTTAAGATTTTTCTCAGTCCTACTCCATTAACCATAACCAATTATGTCTCATAACATATAAGTTAACATGATAGTCCTTCCTTTTTACTCCGCAATCCCATTTGCTTTAATATTACTGGAGGACCAAGAGTCATTCATTCAACATTTATTGGTATCTACTTGCTAGCAAAGGTTCACAGCAATACTACTTGAGGGATCAAGATTTCCTACCCCACATGGGGAGAAATATTCAGCGACCTGAGGATGTCTACTTCATTCTCTTGCCTACCCTTCTTGGGGTGTCCTTTAGATCATTCATATCAAACAGATAAGCTTACAGATGGTCCTCAGGGCTTTGACTGGAACATTTGCACCACACAACACAGCTTACTCCTTCATGAGTTTACTCCTTACACAATTTTTTTTTTTTGGTCTAGTGTATTTTGCTTTTCATCCAGTTTTTATAAAAGAATGCAACGCCAAATGAGCATAAGATTATATACATACAATACTTTTACATTTAGAACATGGGAAAGACATGTTTATTAACCGAAAAGTTTAATCATGCATGAGTAAAGAGAACAGAGCCTATCTAGTGAGTTCCAAGCACTGTGTATTGAATTATTTCAAAGTTAACCTAAAGGGATTGTAACCAGGAAAACAATCCCTTTTCTTTGCTTATATTAAAAGCAATAGATGTAATTAAACCTGAACGTGACAATGAACAATTGTGAAACCTATGGAAAAATTTGTGGATGATTTAAAACACATTGTTCAAGTAATAGATAAATGGCTGGTGATGACTTGATCAACATCCTCAAGAAAGAAACAAAGTATGATTATTGGAGGACATGGATAAACACTCTTGAATGAATGAAACAATCTAGATTCACAAATCACATATACAGTACTATATTTGATGGGTTAAAGGATTTTCTTTTCTTTTTTTTTTATTGCATTTTATGTTTACCACCCTGAACGCACCCGATCTCATCTGATCTCAGAAGCTAAGCAGGGTCGGGCCTGGTTAGTACTTGGATGGGAAACATAAAATTCTTTTATTCCAAGTTAACTACAATGTCAAAGTATGGGCAGAAATGATCCAACTCAAATCTTAGAATTTTAGCAAGCAAGAAATAATTGTAGCACTCTTCTAATTTAATCTCCCATTTTAAAGATGATAAAGTCCATGGAAATTTAGTGATTTCTTAAATCACACACCTTGATTTTTAAAACTTTGATTTCCTCCATATACTTTTCAGCACCCCCAAACTGCTTGGTTATTAATTTATAGAATTTCACAATTATATGATCTAATGTTTTCTAAGTGCTTAATCTTTACTAGGCATTGCTCTATGTACTATTATCCCCACTATGGAGTAAATACCATTTTAGCCTCATTTAAATACAAGAAAACTGAAACTTAGAAAGTTTAAATAATTTGATCAAAAGCATAAAATCATAAGCTAAGAGTGATGGAGCTAGGATTTACTGGGTAATCTGATCGTGGAACATCAGCACTGATTTACCTACTTATCAACAATACTACAAATCACCATTAATCAATCAGGACATTTAAACATCTTACCTCTTTGCTGCCTCCATCACCAGACTTACTCTGAATCTCCTTATTATCCAGATTTTCTATATCAGATTCTCCTGAAGCAATTGGTACTGTTTCTGAGACACTAGGACTGGGGATAAGCGATTGGTTCTCATTTTCAGTCGTGTTTTTCTCTGTGCCACTGCTTTGTTCCTTATCCTTGAGAAAATCTTGGGTATTGCTCAATTCAGAAAGGGTATGGTCAGAAATATCCTCTTTAACATATACCTCATTTACACGGTCCATTGTCTCCTTTGGGATATTTTGTTTTTTGCATAGTATTTTAAGAAGCACATAGTTTATTTCTTTTTTAATCCTTGCCATAGCAAGCTGGAGATTTTTTGCTTCATCATTCTCTTCAGCTGTTACTTTCTTGCATGAACTAAATAAGTTCACCAATGCCAGAAACAGGTAAAGTACCTAAATAAGGAAGTACAGTGAGGCTAAATTTATCTCATTTTGTTTCATTTTAAGCAATAAGAAGTTTGTTTACAAAACTGACTGGAGAACATTTAATATCTCCTCTTAGCATTTTTCAATAATATATTAGATTTAATAACCATAGTCGCCATGCTGTACAATGCATCTTTTGAACTTATTCTACCTATGTAATTGTAATTATACGTCCTTTGACCAACAGCACTTCAATCTCTAATTTCCCCTAACCAACCCAGCTTCTAGTAACTGCTATTTTGCTCTCTACTGCCAGAGGGTGGATATTAACCCATTTATGATTAGTATTTCATTATTGGAACCCTAAGCTTGTGGAAGTTATTTATATCCTACTGTTCAATGTCATAACCAAGGTCTGATTTTTCACAAAAAAAACCCTGCAACTTCTGGAATAAATGGGTTAAGCATTCTCACCACAAATAAATAAATAAATAAATAAATAAAAATAAATAAATAAATAAAACCCGATAACCGTGTGAAGTAATGCATTTGATAATTAGCTCTATTTAGCCATTCCACAATATATGTCTACTTCAAAACATTGTTGTACGCAATAAATACATATGAGTTTACATGTTAATTTAAAAAAATTTGACCACAAAAGGCTGACCTGAGATTTGAAATGAAGGATATGAACTATAATACTATTCAGTTCTTAACCGTCTACAAAATGGGTCAGTGCTGTGCTAGGGATTTGCGTAGGAATAATTTATATTAAGCTCATGACATCCTATGCAATATAATTTTTCTCTTTTACAGATGAAAAAGGCAAGGTTTACAGATGTCAAATATCACAGGATCAAAGGTTACACAGATTAGATGATCTCCACGTCTGCTTTATTCTAAAGCATATTTTCTCTCTGAGTCAAGCTATCTAACCCAAGGTGAGTATATACATTTTTCCTCCAGGAAGCTCATTTCACTTCAGCCCTGTCTCAGGAAACCATGTAATAACTCTGCAAACCCAGGAAGAATTAGACAGGGAAAGAGCTCTCCATGGTCCTAAATAGCATATCTAATGGCTCTTGTGAGATGAAAACACAGTTGTTAGGAAGGTTAGTTGACTAACTGTTGTAGTAAATTTGGTCAAACAAGAAACAGATTAGTGATGGAAGAATCATTTCTAATACTTCTAATTATTTTGAACTCAAAGATAGTGAATATTTTGACGTTTACTATCACTTAGAAATATGTTTAAGGACTGGTCACTTTCCAGAGAATCAGATATTAAACTTGTTTGTAATTGTAGAGCATAAATTATAATTTTTGATAACTGTATAATTTATGTGTATATAAGATATGTATGTATCTCCAAAGACTCATATTTTGAAACTTCTTTCAAAATTGTAGATTAATGTGAACAGTTGAGTTTCTCAAACACTCTGATCATTAGTTTTGTTCATGGACATACACACCTGGAATAATCAGAACTTTCCACCAAATAGTGTTTAATCGTAATGGGTTCCATTTACTTCTCTCTACCTAGCTCTTCCTTCTTTTTAGGAATAGGGAAACCTCAAATAAGAGTCGTATAGAAAAATCAAAGTATTATTGCAGTGAATGAAGTCATCAAATAGATAATCTTACCCATAGTTTTGGCATAGCAATAAATTTTAGGTTACAAGATAAATCAATATGGGAAATGTTTTGTGGGTGAGAACATCTGAAAAAACAATCGATATTTTCTATAATCCACAATGAAAGAGTCTCAGAAGAGAAAAATAAAAAGAGAAAGGACAATGATCAAATGCCAATAGCTTCAGAAATTAGTACAACTCTTCTCCTACTACAGTCTCTTTTGGCAATGAGGTTTACTTATAGATAATCTATGTAGGAGCTCCACGGTACCTATAGGAGCTATACTATTAGCAACTCTATCATTCTCAAAGGACAACAGCTTCCTGATATAAGAGGGTAAGACCAGATGTAATTCAAGATAGTTGGTTGTTTCCTTTTCTTCCATTGTTTGGCTAAGCATTAGACACAGTATAAAATAAGGGAAGGGTGTTAGTGTGTTTCGTGACATAGCTTCATGCGAACAAAAACCATGTTTACTGTTAGACAACCAGCACACTGCTACACACCACTAGTCACAAAATAGGTAATAAATATTTATATTAAAAATTAATTATAGAATGAATAAAAATAGACATTGTGCTAGGATTTAAACAAGAAAAAGTTTATGCTATACTAATTATATATTTTAGGAAATTACATCAAAGATTTCTTATATCCTAGACACACATGCACACAAATATACACACATACATTCATATCTATCTATCTATCTATCTATATATATATATATATGTATACACATATATACATATATATGTGGTGATAATGTTAAAAACCTAAAAGTGAAGTTAATCTTAAAAGTGCAAAGTGCTCTGAAACTGTAGTATAAGAAAATAATTTTATAACACTAAGAATTTCTACTACTTTGTTCAGATATGGTCTGAATTAAAAATAGCCTACTCTCTTTAAGTATTTAAAAGGAAAGACAGGCTCTGTAAGTGGCCCGAGTTACAGAGAATTGATTACTACTTCTAATTTGAGCATTTAAAAAAGAGAGTAGAAAATGCAGAGATTTGTATTATATAAACTCAGAGTAACTTTATTCTAGTCACAGAATCTGTAACCATATTTAGAAACATATATTTTTTGTGTTAAGAGAGAAAAGGTGAAACAATGTGAATAAAACAAAACATTTTTTAAAATTTCCCTGAATTTTGGTTTTTTTGCACCTCAAAGATATCCACATATTGAGTGAGAATTGAGCAACTCATAGCAAAATCAAGCAGCATAAAAGACGAAGTTCAAAATTTAAATAACTACTTTCTGAACTGTAATCAACAAACATGTATTAAGGAATTCAACATGTATTGAGGCTATTTAATTTTAAATTGCTTGAATTATATCTTAACACATATTTAATTTGGGATTATACAAATATACATATAGAATAACATGTATCTGTGATTAATTTTTTTATTTTTAAAAGGCAACTGAATTTCATATTGTTTTCTTTTTCTTTTATTTTCATGTTTGTATCCCTCAGTGTTTGGATTATGTAACCAGAGTCAGATATTTTATTTCACTTGATGACAATTACCTGAATTACAGGTAAAACACCTGGAATGACATAGTGTCTCTCAAATTTGCCTAACTAAAACTTGTTAATAATATTAAATAACTAACAAAAATCTGATGGAAATATAGGGGTTAAATTTTTCTAGAGTTTAAAGAAATGAAAACATTTATGAATTACTTATAGGGTGCCACACGATTAAATTTAAGTTACAATAACCCTATAAGACAAGTATTGCTATGTTCATTCCTCCACTAAGTATAGTCAGGTTTAAAAAGGCTGTGTAATATGCACAAAGTCACTTATTTATTCAGTGATTGAAATTGTTTGTCTGTGTTTCCACCTAAATCTCATATTGAGTTGCAGTTCTCATAATTCCCACCTGTTGTGGGAGGGACCTGGTGGGAGATAACTGAATCATGGGAGTGGTTACCTCCATGCTCTTCTCATGATAGTGAATTCTCATGAGATCTGATGGTTTTATAAGGGAGTTTCCCCACCTTCACTCTGCACTTCTCCTTGCTGCTGCAATGAGAAGAAGGACATGCCTGCTTTCTTTTCCACCATGATTGCAAGTTTCCTGAGGCCTCTCAAGCCCTGTGGAACTGTGAGTCAATTAAATCTCTTTCCTTTGTAAATTATCCAGCCTTGTGTATCTTAGCAGCATGAGAATCAACTAATACAGTAAATTGGTAATGCAGAGAGTAGGGCACTGCTGGAAAGATACCCAAAAATGTGGAGGCGATTTTGAAACTGAGTAACATGTAGATGTTGCAACAGTTTGGAGGGCTCAGAAGAGGATAGCAAGATGCAAGAAAGTCAGGAACTTCTTAGAGACTTGTTGAATGGTCTTAACAAAATGCTGATAGTGACATGGACAATAAAGTTCAGGCTAAGGTGGTCTCAGATGGAGATGAGGAACTTGAGAACTGGAGCAAAAGTGATTCTTGCTGTGATTTAGCAAAGAGATTGGTGGGTTTTGCACCTTCTCTAGATATCTGTGAAACTTTGAACTTGAGAGAGAAGATGATTCTTGGTATCTGGCAAAAGAAATTTCGAAGCAGCAAAGTGTTCAAGAAGCAGAGCATAAAACTTTGTAAAATTTGCAGCATGATGATGCAGTAGAAAGAAAAACCAATTTTCTGGGGAGAAATGCAAGCTGGCTGCGGAAATTTGCACAAGTAATGAGGAGCCAAATGTTAACCACCAAGGCAATGAGGAAAATGTTTCCAGGGCATGTCAGAGACCTAGGCATAGACCTAGGAGAAAAAAAATGGTCTTGTAGTCCGGGCCCAGGACCTCACTGCTATGTGCAGCATAGGGACCTGGTGCCCAGTGTCCCAGCTATTCCAGCTGTGGTCAAAAGGGGCCAAGGTATAGCTTAGGTCATCACTTCAGAGAGTGCAAGCTCCAAGCCTTGGCAACTTCCTTGTGATGTTGAGCCTGCAGATGCAAGGAAGTCAAGAATCGAGGTTTGGGAATCTCCACCTAGATTAAGAGGACGTATGAAAATGCCAGGTTATCTAGGAAGAACTTTGCTACAAGGGCAAAGCCCTCATGGAAAACCTCTACTATGGCAGTGTGGAAAAGAAATGTAAGGTTGGAGCCCCCACACAGAGTCCCCACTGGGGCACTGCCTAGTGGAGCTGTGAGAAGAGGGCCACTGTCCTCCAGACCCAAAAATGGTAGATCCACTCACAGCTTGGTCTGCACCTGGAAAAGCTGCAGGCACTTAACACTGGCCTTTGAAGGCATCAGGTATTGAGGCTGAACCCTGCAAAGCCACAGGGGTGGAACTGTCCAATGCCATGGGAGCCCACCTCTTGCATCAGCATGCCCTGGATGTGAGACATAGAGTCAAAGGGGATCATTTTGGAACTTTAAGGTTTAATGAATGCCCTAGTGGATTTCAGCCTTGCATGAGGCCTGTTTTGGCCAATCTCTCCCATTTGGAATGGGTGTATTTATCCAATGCCTTACCCACATTGTATCTAGTAAGTAATGAACTTGCTTTTGATTTTACAGGCTTATAGGTGGAAGGGTCTTGCCTTATCTCAGGTGAGACTTTGGACTTGGACTTTTGAGTTAATGCTGGGATGAATGAAGACTTTGGGGGACTTTTGAAAAGGGATTATCATGTTTTGAAATGTGAGTATATGAGATTTGGGAGGGGTCGGGTGGAACAATATTGTTTGGCTGTGTCTCCACCCAAATCTCATCTTGAATTGTAGTTTCCATAATCCTCAAATGTTATGGGAGGGTCTTGGTGGGAAGTAATTGAATCATGGTGGTTACCTCCATGCTATTCTCATGCTAGTGAGTGAGTTCTCAGGGTACCTGATGGTTTTATAAGGGGCTTTCCCCTGCTTTACTCTGGACTTCTCCTTGCTGCCACTATGTGAAGAAGGGCATGTCTGCTTCCCCTTCTGCCATGATTGTAAGTCTCCTAAGGTCTCCTCAACCCTAAGGAACCGTGAGTCAATTAAACCTCTTTCCTTAATTAGTCAGTATCAGGTATGTGTTTTTAGCAGCATAAGAATGGATTAATATAGTGGTAGAACCGAAATTGAACCTCTGTTTCCTTGATTCTGAACTCTGCTTTTTCTACAACTCAACAAGACATAGAACTATGAAAAAGCCAATTCATTTCCTTTGGCATATAATAACTTTTTGTAAGGTTTCTGCTTCAGGTTAAAAATCATTGCTGAATTATCTTAGAAGAGTAAGACAAAATTAATTTTTTAAAAGTGTGAAATACCTTCCTTTTACACCACTCCACATTAGAAGTATGGAGGTTAAAAAAGATCAACACAATTTCAAAGATTATCTCCTTACATTTTTCCCCTTATACTTATTCTACTGTCATTATCATAATGTCTCACAGTTGGATGACTGCTGAGGAAAATTAATCTGGAAGGATTTAATGAACAAGAAATATGATGGCAATCAATTGGAAATAGAGGTTCATGTAACTCCATTTATCCTGGAATCCCCCTGCACATTGATTAAGTTTCTGGTTAGCAGGAACAAACAAATAAATAGAAATAGATTGGAGTTCAAAATCAAAGAAGCAGGAATGTTCAGGCAAATATATATGTTATATATTTCTATGTGATATAATATATACATTTATATTATGTATGCATATAATATAATGCCTCAGTATTTCTGCTTCTTTGCCTTCGGTATGTATGTGTATGTTTGTGTTGTTGCTGCTTCCTTCAACAGTCATAACTCCTCCTTTTGGAGACAGAAGCATACAATTTATTTGGGAAATTACCCTTCTCCCCTTATTAGTCATATGATTTGGGTTTGACCTGATTCCATCTGCAGCTGTAAGAGATAGCTATGAACATTTTAACATAAAAATACATACCAAATTCTGGGTAATGGAGATTAGTTAATAATGGGCATGTGATTTGGGTATCAAGACAATAGAAAAATTGTCTGTGGCTTCTAGAAAAGAAATACTTTCCCGTATTAGACTTAATATAATATAAAGATATGAGTCTTTAGACTGCAGCAGCCATCTTGATAAACAGAGGATACTAGCTAGCAAGGAGCACAGAGAAAGACAGAATTGAAATCTACAAATACCTCTCTGTAATGATCCCATCTGATAATCTGTGCCAAACCAAAACTAAAGCAAATATCTTTGATATTTTAAGTTATGAGTTATGTATACTGATATATATGATCATTTTTTGTTTCAGCCAGTTATAGTGGTGTTTTATATCATGGGAGTTAAAAGTGTACTACTATAACTACAAAGGGCAGAAGACAATGAAGTATTTTTTACATGATGAGCCCTGTTCTAGGTTTTATAATAAAGAGTAGAGTTATGGTCCTCTCCCTCATGGTGCTTACAGTATAATAAAGAAGATAGAGAAAAACACTAACAACTAAATACAATGCCAATGTGATAAGTGTATGACAAGGTTCTTCTCAAGGTGAAACACAAGCAATGTGGATAGGCACAAGTAAAATTGAGTCTAACTTGTGATTTCTTTCAGTCTTTTGGGAAACATACTTCATCTTTATGACATATGAATAAAAAGTGAATACTAAGTCTTATATTCCTGTAAGAACCATTTTCTTTTATAAGCCCTGTCTTTTCCATAGATGCAGTGAAAGCTACTTATTTAATTCATTAAAACCATTTCAGTTAGTAGGACAATTAAAAATAAAAGCTTTCTCTCTTAGTTAATGCATAACATTTTTAAAGACCAGTGATTTTCAATCTTGACTACAGAATTTAATCAACTGAAAATCCTGATGACCAGGTCATGTCCACATACCAATAAAATCAGAATCTCTAAGAATGGTTCTAGGCATCAGCATATTTTTATTAATTCCCCAGGTAATTCCAATGCCAGGTAAAGACTGACAGCATCGTTATACTTAAGTGCTTCTTAAAATGTAATCAGCACACAAATCACTGGGAACAGTGTTACAATGTAGAGTATGCTTGCATAGGTCTGGGATTGGGGTCTGAGAGTCTGCATTTCTAACCACTTTCCACATGATGCCAATATTACATTGAATAATAAGGTTTAAGCTAATGGTGTCCAATGGAAATATGATGTAATCACATATGTAATTTTAAATTTCCAGTAGCCACACAGAAAGCATGAAAATATAACGGGTAAAATTAATTTTACTAATATATTTTATTTAACAAATATATTTAGTTAAATACAATATACAATTTGTATGCAATAAATATAAACATATTTGTATTTAACTAAATATATTTAACTAAATATAGCCCAGAGAGTTACTAAATGAACAACAGGTAGCATATAGAGCATGAATATGCTAGACAAAGGGATGTTTCATGCCTAGGACAGGACAGAGTGGTATGGCAGGAGATTCCATTACACTACCCAGAATGGCATTCAAATTAAAACTTACGAGTTGTTTATTTCTGGGATTTTCCACTGGATATTTTCAGACCATGGTTGACCACAGGCAACTAAAACCACACACAGAACAACTGAGGATAAGGAGGGACTACCGTATTATCATTTAAAAATGCATTCAATTAAAAATTATTAATGAAATACTTTATATCATTTTTTGTGTAAGATGTCAAATCTGTACATATTTAATATTTACAACACATTTCCAATGGGACTAGTCATACATGTGGGTAGCGTTTACTCTGTTGGACTACCACAGTTACAGATCATTAGATCCCATCCATGCACATCATGAAAACACCTAACTACCTTATATCAGTTTTCAAAGAAAATATAAAAGAATTGATGACTTACCAGTAAATTTCCAATTAAAATGACCATCAGGTAAAAAGAAATACACCAGGATTGGCCTGCGACCTCCATACAGTCCCACAAGGTCTCTATCCACTCTCCACAGATAATTCGGAACACATTCAGGAAGGAGTGGAAAAAGTCATGCATGTGCCAGCGTGGAAGTTGACAATCTCTGTCTATGTGACAGACAAATTCTTCATAATTCTGACCAAACAGCCTCATGCCGAATGCAGCAGAAAAGAAGATGAACGTGAACAACAACAGGACCAAGTCTTTCAGGGCCACCCATGAGTTACTAAGAGACCACATTAAAATCTGGAACGTTGGCCAATACTTCCCCAACTTCAAAATTCTCAACTAACAGAGCAATGTGAAAACAAGAACAAGAAACAAATGACAAAAACCTGGTCAGTATTTATTACAATGTACAGCGTTATACACATACACATAATAGCCTTTAAAGATTGAAGCATTATCAATAACAGCTACTGAACATTCATTTTATGTACAGTTCTTAATATATCTTATATGTTCTATAATTTTGTATACTTAATCTATACATGTCCTCTTCTACCGATGTATTCATCAATTCCCATTAAACATTATACTTTTACAATTCCTCTTGCTTTACATTTTAATGTCTGTTAGGGTAAGATTTTTGTTTTTGCTTTTCACAATATATTGAATATTTTCCCAAATTTTTCCCCACATGTTGACATAAAAATGATATTGAAAGTCTTTCAGGATCCAGAGAATTCCAATGAAGGGCCTATCATATATTTCCCTTTTAAAATAATGTATCAAAGACCAAACACAACATTCTAGGTCTAGTTTGAATAGTCCTCTTCCTTTCACTAGATACTTTTAAATTTCTATTTATACAAAACAAGATTACTTTAATACTTTTGGTCACTATATGATGGTAAATTTACAGTCGACTAAATCTCATACATCATTTTTATATAAGCTTCAGTTTCCTGATACTGTCTTTTCAATTTTTGTTTGTTTGTTTGTTTGTTTACAGAGTCTTTCTCTGTCACCCAGATGGAAGTGCAGTAGCATTATCATGGCTCATTGCAGCCTCCAATCCCTGAGCCCAAGTAATCCTCCTGCCTTAGCCTCCTGAGTAGCTAGGACTACAGACATGAACTACCACCATGACTATTTTTTGTTAAATTTTTTTTAGAAATGGAGTCTCACTATGCGACCAAGGCTGGTTCCCAATTTCTGGCCTCACTTCCTGACTTTTTGTAGTGCACAATTATCTTTCTGGACTCAAAAGTAAGACCTTACATTTATCCCTGAAAAATTTAATCATCTTATATTCAGTCCATTACTAGCCTTTAAGATATTTTGATACTATCTTTTAGTGCATATTTTTGCATTTGCCATTGTTATTTCATCCATAAATTTGGTGACAACATCCTGTATATATTTCTCTTATTCATTAAAAAAGGTTATGAGTGAGGATTTAAGAGAGGACCTTCTTCACAGAACTGGAAAAAACGACCTTAAACTTCATATGTAACAAAAAAAGAGCCCACATAGCCAAGACAATCGTAAGCAAAAATAACAAAACTGGAGGCATCACACTACCTGACTTCAAACTATACTACAAGGCTACAGTAATCAAAACAGCATGATACTGGTACCAAAACAGAGACATAGACCAATGGAAATCGACAGAGGCCTCAGAAGTAATGCCACACACCTACAACCATCTGATCTTTGACAAACCTGACAAAAATAAGCAATGGTGAAAGGATTTCCTGTTTAATAAATAATGTTGGGAAAACTGGCTAGCCATGTGCAAAAAGCTGAAACTGGACCCCTTCCTTACACCTTATACAAAAATTAACTCCTGATGGATTAGAGATTTAAACATAAGACCTAACACCATAAAAACCCTAGAAGAAAACCCAGGCAAAACCATTCAGGACATTGACACAGGCAAGAACTTCAGGGCTTAAACACCAAAAGCAATGGCAACAAAAGCCAAAATAGACAAATGGGATATGATTAAACTTAAGAGCTCCTGCACAGCAAAAGAAACAATCATTAGAGTGAACTGGCAACCAACAGAATGGGAAAAAAATGTGTGCAAGCTACCCATCTGACAAAGAGCTAATATCCAGAATCTACAAAGAACTAAAATAAATATACAAGAAAAAAAACAACCCATTCAAAAAGTGGGTGAAGGATATAAACAGACACTTTTCAAAAGAAGACATTTATGCAGCCAACAAACATGAAAAATTGTTCATCATCACTGGTCATTAGAGAAATTCAAATCAAAACCACATTGAGATGCCATCTCAAGCCAGTTAGAATGACAATCATCAACAAATCTGAAGAAAATAGATGGTGGAGAGGATGTGAAGAAATAGGAATAATTTTACACTGCTGGTGGGAGTGTAAATTAGTTCACCCATTGTGGAACATTGTGGAAGACAGTGTGGAAATTCCTCAAGGATCTAGAAACAGAAATACCATTTGACCTAGCCATCCCATTACTGGGTATGTACCCAAAGAATTATAAAACATTCTATTATAAAGACACACACACACACACACACATGTTCATTGCAGCGCTTTTTACAATGCCCAACCCAGATGCCCATCAACGATAGCCTGGATAAAGAAAATGTGGCACATATGCACTATGGAATACTATGTAGCCATAAAAAAGGATGAGTTCATGTCCTTTGCAGGGACATAGATGAATCTGGAAACCATCATTCTCAGCCAACTGACACAAGAACAGAAAACCAAACACCACATGTTCTTACTCGTAAGTGGGTGTTGAACAATGAGAATACATAGACACAGGGAGGGGAACATCACACATCAGGGTCTGTTGGTTCTAGGGGAGGGAAAGCAGGGGGTGGGGAGTTTGGAGAGGGATAACATTAGGAGAAATACATAATGCAGCTGACGGGGGGATGGAGACAGCAAACCACCATGGCATGTGTATACCTATGTAACAATCCTGCAAGATCTGCACATGTAAAGTGAAAAAAAAAAAAAAAAAGACAGGATTCTGAATGAGCTGCCCTCTAGGAAGTAAACATCAGAATAAGATTAAATGTACTTAATTGTTCTAAATTCCTTCTACAGTCTTTCAACTTGTCACCAGAATGTGACAATGTATAACTTATCTAAAGCTTACCATTTAAATAAACATTATTCTAATAATATTATTCCTTTGTTTAATTTTCTGAGTCTCACCACTACCCTACCCTATAGACATACTCTAGTATTGACCTAATAATTATCATAATAATGTTTTGCTGGCCTGACTGGTCTTCCTTGATACCTGACATTTAAAAATACTCACCTTATTTCAGCTTTTTGGTGACATATTAGCATTCTACTTTGGAAACTCCTCATTTTCTTGCTTTTCAAAATGTACTCAGTTATCCTGACCTTGCTTCCTAAAACTGCATCTCAAATTTGCTGCATATATGGCATTATTTCCTTTAATGCTGTGGTCAAATAACCATTGGAGACTGCTTACACTTTCCTTGGCAATAGACTCTTTATATATGAATTAATTCATTTAATACTTCCAATGTCTCAACGTATAGGTATAGGTATTACTGTTGCCTCATTTTATGTCTGCAGAAACTGAGATAAACTTTGATCAAATAAGAATTAGGTATTGGATTCTACTTACCATCCTGAATGATTGAAAAACAGCCAGTCCTTCAATATACGCTATAAAAAGTTCTGCTAAACCAAGGAACACTATTATGCTATCAAAAATGTTCCAACCTACTTGGAAATACCCATATGGATGCATTGCAATTATTTTTAAAATCATTTCTGCTGTGAAAATTCCAATGAAAACCTAAATTAAAACCAAACACACGGGTGAGAATATGACTCCAATAGCTGTATCAGCACCTTCACACACAAAATCCGTAACACACACTATTTACTTGTCAATGTCACATTCTTCACAGCTCCTCTTTCAAGATCTGGTTAGTCATGGAGTCTGCATTATAAGGACAGACTCATATGTTTTATTTAACAATCTAACATCCAATGCTATATACAGAATCTTTTATTATTTTAATAAAATTCATCCTTGGGGAAAACAAAAGAATATTTGAGAGTGAAGACCTTTCCATTCTGAATAGGTATTTTCAAGATACGGAGTATATGATGCGATATTTAATTTTTCAACCTCTGAAAAAACCTAGTGTAAACCTATGGAAACTGTCCTATTACGCTGGCAGAAATCACTAAATTACTGTTTTGGTATCAAATAAGTATATAATTTGAAACTGGTAGCCGTTTAGCTGTTTGTATTAGTACCAAACAACTAAACAACAAAAACAGTGAAAGCAAAGACATCTAAACAATATACGTTTGCTTGAATATGACTTATTCTAAAACTCGCGGAAATACGTTTTGTCTTTTGCATTGTATGCGAAAAAGGACAGGTGAATCTCAAAAATACCATGCTAAAATGATAATTTCTAATCCTGGGCAAAGATGCATGGTTAGAACAGACAGGACCAACTGTCGTTTTAATCAGAGTTAATAATTCAGGTGTCAGGTGCTTGTTATTTCACCTCTTCCCTACTCTGATCTATGAGCTAATGGTACCAAGAGACTGTACGCTTGGGAAGGAAGTGGCAATAAATAATTTCCATATAATGTAACTGCTAAGCAGGTGGCTATGAACCCCAAATTAAAATTGTGGAATTTTAAATTCTAGCTGTAAAACTATTTAATGATAACATTGACAAAGTAGGGGTTGGAGAGAGAAAACATAAACACAATGCATCATTCAATAATTATGCATATTGCAACATATTGGAGTTACAGAATAAAATGGGAATAATGATGAACAAAGAAAAGTTCAATGATAAATATGAAACTACAAGTGAATATAATATGCAATGAGAGTCTTACCAGGTTTCCAATGCTGAGAATATTGCTAGTTTGTTCACTCATTGGATAATGCTCCAAGGCCAAAAAGCATACGTTTAAAATTATGCATATGAAAAGGAAAAGATCAGTGAATGGTGCTGTTATAATCCTATGGACAAATTCTTTCAATTTTAACCAACAGGGAGAACATTTCCAGATCAAGAAAGTTTCAGCAAACTTATACCAACATAATGGGCAGATCTTCCCAGATTTTTCAAGTTCTGAAACGAAAGAATAGAAAAGTTAAACATTCTGGCCAGGTGCAGTGGCTCACGCCAGTAATCCCAGTGCTTTGGCAAGCTGAGGCGACTTTTGCATGCAAAGGGAGATTTGAAGCTAGAATTCTGATACAGAATTTGAAAACAGAAATATTCTATCCTAACAAAAACCTGAATGAAGAGAAACTCTCTCTTGGGCAACCCACCTTCTCAGCATGAGGAAGCTTTCTCTCTCTTTCTTCTTTTACGTCTGTTAAACTTTCTGCTCCTTTACCCACTTCACATGTGTGTCCATGTCATGAATCATCTCAGCACAAGACAACTAACAACAGCCTTGCATTCCTGAGATGAAGCTGACTTGATCCTGGTGGATAAGCTTTTGGATGTGCTGCTGGATTCAACAAAAACAAGCATGGGGAAAGGATTTCCTATTTAATAAATGGTGCTTGGAAAACTGGCTAGCGGTAGGCAGAAAATTGAAACTGGATCCCTTCGGTACACGTTATACAAAAATTAACTCAAGATGGAGTTTGACTTAAATGTGAAACCTAAAACCATAAAATCCCTAGAAGAAAACCTAGGCAATATCATTCAGGACATAGGCATGGGCAAAGGTTTCATGACTAAAACACCAACAGCAATTGTAACCAAATCCAAAATTGACAAATGGGATCTAATTAAACTAAAGAGCTTCTGCACAGCAAAAGAAACTATCATCAGAGTGAATAGGCAACCAACAGAATGGGAGAATATTCTTGCAATCTATCCACCTGGCAAAGGTCTAAGGTCCAGAATCTGTCTACAAGGAACTTAAACAAATTTACAAGAAAAAAACAATCCCATCAAAAAGTGGACGAAGGATACGAACAGACACTTCTCAAAAGAAGACATTTATGCTGCCAACAGACATATGAAAAAAATGCTCATCACCACTGGTCATTAGAGAAATGCAGATCAAAACCACATTGAGATACCATCTCACAAGATAAGAAAATGATCTTTTTAATGGCGATCATTAAAATGTCAGGAAACAACAGATGCTGGCAAGAATGTGGAGAAACAGGAATGTTTTTACACTGTTAGTGGGAATGTAAATTAGCTCAAGCATTGTGGAAGACAGTGTGGTGATTCCTCAAGGATCTAGAAGCAGAAAAACCATTTGACCCAGCAATCTCATTACTAGGTATATAGCATATAGCCAAGAGATCATGAATCACTACCATAAAGACACATGCACACATATGTTCATTGCAGCACTATTCACAATAGCAAAAACTTGGAATCAACCCAAATGCCCATCAATAATAGACTGGATAAGGAAAATGCAGCACATATGCACCATGGATTACTATGCAGCCATAAAAAAAAAAAAAAAGAATGATTTGTGTCTTTTGCAGGGACATGGATGAAGCTGGAACCATCATTCTCGACAAACTAAAACAGGACCAGGAAACCAAACATCACATATACTTACTCATGGGTGGGAGCTGAACAATGAGAACACATGGAAGCAGGGAGAGGAGCATCAAACACCTGGGTCCTGTCAGGGGATGGGAGGCATGGGGAGGGAGAGGACTGGGACAAGTGTGTAGTGCATGTGGGGCTTAAGACCTGGATGATAAGTGCAGCAGATCACCATGGTACATGTATACCTATGTAGCAAACCTGCACATTCTGCTCATGTATCCCAGAACTTAAAGTTTAATTAAAACAAAAACAAAAACAACTTTGGTTAAAAAAAAAAGGTGAATGAAGTAAATTTCCTCTGTTGTGTTCATGTTTAGTTGAGTTAGACAAAAGAAAATGAAGCAAATTGCATATCAGAAGAAAAATGTAGGGGCATTTCTCAAGAAAAAAAATATGGAACATAGTTGAGAACATTGTGACTTATAATGTCTGGATTTACATGCTTTACAAATTAATGCCTTTTGATATTGTCCATAATAATTTTTGGTTACACATAAAAATATAGAAATAAGTCTAGAAAGAGCCTTGAGATATTAATGTTATATACCACAATCTTTATATTTAGTCACAAGTTAACACTTCAATATGTTTTTAATGTTAAAGAAAATTACTTGGTGCTCTTTGGTCACTCTTTCCAATGTTTAAAACACCATGATTCTGAAATTTTTATGCATAGTTTATCCTAATATTCTCAAATATTCCTTAAATTTTTGTTACTAACATCTAAGATTCTGAAGAAATTGCTGAATTTCTTTAAAAGTGAATTTTATGAGTAGTACATTCCATAGTGAGTGTCTAACTATTTAGTACTTTACCTTCCTTATGTCTGAAAGCAGCATCTTCCAACACATCCAGCGATGTGTCTGTGGATGCTGGTGACCTTTTCTTCATTTCTATTTGTACGGTCTTGGCCTGAAAAGGAATTTGATGGTTTAATATTGGCTTCCTCTCTTTGCAGGTCCAAAACTATAAGAAGGTGTACAGCCTTGCCAAAAATGCCAGTTATTGTCCAGGAGCCTTTCATTTTTATTAAGTTGATAAATAATCATTGTACATATCTGGGGAGTATATGTGGTATTTTCATACATGCACACAATGTACAATGATCAAGTCAGGTTAATTGGAATACATATTACCTGAAACATTTATCTTTTCTTTATATCAGTAACATTCCAATTCTTTTCCTATAGCTATTTTTAACTTTATAATAAATTATTGTTAACTAGACTCACCCTACCATAGTATTGAACACTAGACTATACTCCCCCTATTTAACCATATTTTTGTACCCATGAGCTAACCTTTCTTCATATCACCTCATACGTACTCTTTGCAGTCTCTGATAACCACCAATAAACTATCTACTTCAATAAGATCCATGTTTTTAGCTCCCACATATGACTGAAAACATGTGAAGTTGGTCTTTCTGTGCCTAGCTTATTTCACTTAACATAACCTCAAGTTCCATCCATGTTGCTGCAAATGACAAGACTTTATTCTTTTTCATAGCTGAATACTATTTCATTGTGTATATACCACATTTTCCTTATCTATCCACTGATAGACACTTAAGTTTATTCATCTCTTGGCTATTGTAAATAGCACTGCAGTAAACACGGGAGTGCAGATATTTCTTCAATATGCTGCCTTTCTTTCTCTTGAGTACATACCCTGCAGTGGGATCCCTGGAACATATGGTAGCTCTATTTCCAGTTTTTTGAGGAACCTCCATACTCTCTCCATAGTGGCTGTGCTAATTTACATTCCCACTAATAGTATTCTGGAAGCATTTCTGGATTCTATCACTTGCTAATCATTACACTCTATGCAGTATTAAACTGATTTACAAATCCTTAAAATTAAATAAAATTTTATACAGTGAGGTCTGAGGCTAAATACAAAAAGAGTAAAGACCAGGAAATAGTTGTGATATGATCCATATTTGACAAATAATTCAGTATATAGTTTAGGATCCTTGTAAAATATTTGATCAGGAAACATACTGCTAAGTAATAAGAAAGTATTTTCCTAACTTCTTAAATTTTATTAGGATATTTTAACTTTATAACTTTGTAAATGCTCTTGATAAAATAAAAAATTATTTGGCATTGTAATAATAAAATAAGTCTTGAAGAATAACAAGAAATTGAATGTATTTAAAAGGGTTGTCTTAGATGATGTATAATATTAAATGAGTAGGACAGGCATAATTCTGTAAGGAAATTACTTCTTCCTGTTTATAATGTCTCATGAATAATGGTTTTAAGAGATCTTCAGCTTTACTGATGTTGCATTGGTAAGGTACTTAAAACTCCTTGGCTTTGATGTAGATATTACAAGTTCTGTGCATTCATAACTTTGAGGAGTATGGCCATAGATATTTCTAGTGATAAGATGTAAAACAGTATTCAAATTTAAATTTTAAGAACCAGACAATGGGTGGATGATATTACACTATACTGATCCCCAACTGTTTTTACATTTGACACACGCAAAATATGAAAATATTTGTATATTTGTTAACTTGGGGTAAATAGGTAAAGACTGCTCTCAGATAAAGTTAACTGACATAGGGGCTGCCACTGCCCCAGCATTGAGGGAATTAATGGTTGAGGCTTGCCCATAACCCAACCCGACATTCTGGTTGGCCAGTTATGCTGTGGTATATTTGAAGTGACATAATAGTTACCATGGAAATCATTATATTATCTCATTGTCAGTCAAGTCCCCTGTAATTTCACATATACTAAAGCTAGAGGAGGATAAAGCCAATTATACTGCATACTGGGTTCATCAGACCAATAACAGACTGTAGGTCTACAGAGCTCCATTCCCTCTTTTTCCTTCCAATGGGTAAAGGACATGAACAGACACTTCCCAAAAGAAGGCATACTGCAGTCAACAAATACATGATAAAATGTTCAACCTCAGTAATCATTAGAAAAATTAAAGTCAAAACCAGAATAAGAAATCATCTCACACCCATCAGAAGGACTTTACTAAAAAGAAAAAATAATAATAACAGATGTTGGTGAAGTTGTGGAGAAATGGGAACGCTTGTACACTGCTGGTGGGAGCGTAAGTTCAACCACTGTGGAAAGCAATTTGGAGATTTTTCAGGTAACTTAAAACAGAGTTACCATTAGACCCAGCAGGCCCAATCCTGAGTATATACCCAAAGGAATATAAATTATTCTACCAAAAAGACATATTCACTTGTATGTTCATCACAGCACTATTCACAACCTAGATGCCCATCAACAGTAGACTAAGTAAAGAAAGTGTAGTACCCTGGAATACTATGCCATTATAAAAAAGAACAAAATCATGTCCTTTGCAGCTGGATGAACATGGATGCAGCTGGAGGCCATTATCCTAAGTCAGTTAATGCAGGAACAGAAAACCAAATACCGTATTCTCACTTACAAGTGATAGCTAAACTTTGTGTACACATGGACAGTATGATGGGAAAAACAGTTACCAGGTACTGGGGACTACTAGAGGGGAAAGGCTGGGGGCAGGTGAGGGTTGAAGGACTATCTATCAGGCACAATGCTCACTACTTGGTTGATGGGAGCATTCATACATCAAACTTCAGTGACATGAAATTTGCCCATGTAACAAACCTGCCCACATACCCCCAAATCTAAAATAAAACTTGACCAAAAAAGAAAAAAACAAAAAGAAAAAAGAAATAAATTAAAACAACAACAGTAAGCTGAAAGTTCAGGATGTGGATGGGCACAGCCTGTGATCCCAGAACTTTGGGAGCCCAAGGCGGGCAGATCACTTGAGGTCAGGAGTTTGAGATCAGCCTGGCCAACATGGTGAAACCCGTCTCTACGAAAAATATAAAAATTAGCAAGACATGGTAGCACACACCTGTAATCCCAGTTACTAGGGAGGCTAATGCAGGAGAATTACTTGAACCCAGGGGGCAGAGGTTGCAGAGAGCAGAGATCGTGACACCACACTCCAGCCTGGGAAACAGAGTGAGACTGGGTCTAAACAATAAAATTAAAAAGGCTGGTGCAGTGGCTCACACCTATAATTCCAGCACTTTGGGATCCTGAGGCAGGTGGATCACAAGGTCAGAAGATTGAAACCATCCTGGCCTACATGGTGAAACCCCATCTCTACTAAAAATACAAAATTAGCCAGGTGTGGTGGTGTGCACCTGTAATCTCAGCTACTTGGGAGTCTGAGGCAGGAGAATGGTTTGAACTCGGGAAGTGGAGGCTGCAGTGAGCCAAGAACATGCCACTGCACCTCAGCCTGGCGACAGAGAGAGACCCTGTCTCAGAAAAGTTCAGGATGTAAGGTTAGAGTTTTTGTTTAAACTGTTTATTCCAGAAACTATTTTTAGCTGAAGTGTAAGATTATATAAAATGTAAGTTAAAATTTATGCAATTCAAAATTTTCATGAGATTAGAAGTAATTATTATGTCATTAAGATCTGACGGGGATTTCCTATATGTGTATCTCATAAAGATGATACTGTGTGACATAGTGAATATTATCCTTGAGTATATCCTTAATGGAGAGTAATTAATTACTCTTTATAAAGCTGTTTCAGTTAGGAACAATATTTGATGAAATTACATTAAGAAGCAATTCAGTAAAGATAACCCTCCAGGGTGGAGAATGGGGCATAAAGTAGGTGGTAACAATGTTGTTGTTGATGTAGTCAGTGCTCAATTCTCTAATAATTTGGCTTCAACTATGGATATATTTTAGAATATAAAATGAATGAACCTCATGTCTGTCTTGTAATATATTTACCCTGATCGAGCTTCTTATGTTAAATTAATGTCCACATATCGGCCAAATACTAAGGATATAGCTATTTTACAATGAAAATTGAGAGGATTGTTACTCAACACTCTTCCTCTATTGGCTATTTAAGAGCTAATAAGGTCATATGCCTGAACTTCTGACAATCCAATATTAAAATTAAACTGGGAAAGGAGGCTAGGTTTCTTCTTCTCCAAACTTTTTAAAATATTTTTTCGGAGGGAAGACAGTAAAAAGGAAGGACTTAGTCACACCTCTCGCATTTACCTATGAATATCTGACAAGTTTATCTTGGACTCAGAGTTACTCTCCTGCAGCGATGCTGGCCTTTTTAATTCTCTGACTCACCCTGCTCACTCCCTCTATTTAGCCTGGACACATTCTTCACATCTCAACTCAAGTGTCAGTTTCTCATAGAAACATTTTCTGACTCAGAGAATCCTTTATAAAAGGCCCATGTCTCTCAGCTTTGTTCCACTTGCCCCAGTTTTCTTTAATTTATTAAAGTAGAGAATAACAGAGTGATCCACCAAATAGTCAAAACCCAGCCTCAACAATTACTAACATTCCATTCTTCCTTTTTCATTTATTTTTTGCTCTACTTATTTTCTGAAATATTTAGTTTAAATAAAATTTCAGAGATAATACATTTTTCAGATAAAATGTTAAAACTACAAATCACAACACCATGATCACAATGAGCAAAATTAGTAATTCCTTAATACTAGCCAATTCATTGTTCAAAAACATCATTATAGTTGATTTATTCTAATCAAAATATAAACAAGGTCCACACATTTTATTCACTTGGCAGTTTTATCAATTATATTGTAATTTTATTTTTCCAACATATTTTTCAAAGATAAATTATCTTTAAAGTCACATTCTTGATTTGTCAGATTATATCATTTTGGTGTAATTTAATGTATTCCTCTCTCTCACAGTCTCTAGAAAAAAAAGCAATCGGATGAAAATGCTTCTTAGAGTTAGCTCAGATTTTGGGAAGAATATATTGCACCTGGTATTTTGTGTTTCCTATTTCATAACAGCAAGAAACACATAATTTATTGTCCTTGAGATGCGATTTAGTGTTTATGATAATTTGATAGTCTATACGTTAGGCCATTAGCTTCATGAAGATAGACATTACATTTGTATTTATTAAAACTCTTTATCTTCAGTGCTTTGTACAATTGTCAATCACATTTTAACTAGCTACATAGATGAATTATGACTGTCATTTTAAATGTGGCAAATATTTTTTAAATATTTGTATTCCTATGATTTTATATATATAATTATCTTCCTGAGGTGTTGCCAGTAGTTGACAATTCATAAGAAAGTTTCACCTGCAAACTATGTGACCAATAGAATGATACTGTTTCAGCACTGAACCTCCAGAACAAGGAAGTAAAGTGGTAAATCATGGATTCTCTTCCTCAACATTATGAAATCAGATCTCAGTGAGTACAGATTAATCTCTGCAGCTGGAACTCCTCAATGAGGATTAAACTTGAGAATTCATGATGGTACTTATCATATGTCTGGTGCACAGTTGATGCTTAATGAACACTTTATGTAACTGCTATCATCATTTTTATTATTGTTTCAACTATCCCTAAATACAGTCAAAGACAAGAATTTTATGTTGCTGGGTGTTTCTCTATTGGAACAGCCATGCCTTCTTGTGTTCTCTATAATTAGGAACTGATTCTTTATGAACTTTATAATCTGCGAATTAAACTTTTATAGGATAATGCTATAAACATTTTTAGTATCTTGTTTAATATTATGGCTAGTTCTACATTTCCTACCTTGGAGACTGAACCTCAAATTTTCTTATATAAAATACTGAGATAATTCCAATACCTCAAAGGCTTGTCACAGTAGAAAGGTAACAATGTATGTAAAACATTTAGCATTGAGTCTGGCACACAGTAAATAAACAATACATGTTGGATGCTATTAATGTTATTACATTGTTATGAGAAAATTTACTTCTAAAATGTGACGTTATTCAATCTGATATTTTTTCCATAAAAATCAAGTATTCTTAATATAGATTGTGAGTGTGATAATTTCTGTAAAAACCACTTTTAACATGATGTATAATATTGACATGTCATAATAATTTTATTAATATTCTTCATAACATTTTTTTGGTTGCTTAGTATAGTGTAAGCACTGCTTGGTGCTTTACACGCATTTATTTCATTTGGACCTCACTATAACCCATAGGACAGGTACTATATATATCCATTTTACAGGTGAAAGAGCTGAAATGTAGAAAAGCTAACAGACTTGGCAAATATCATTCATCTATCAAGTAGCTAAATTGGGCTGAAATCCATATTTATCTGACTACAGAGCTGTGCTTTTAGCCAATATGACCTACAACTTTCCTGTAATGTGAGAATACGTAGTCCTAAGCAATCTCCCGGCTATTCCAGCATTGGAATTGGCATCTAACTGGTCTGCAAGCAGATCAGTGATCTGTAGAGTCCTCAATATGTTCCATCTTACATAATTTTTTTTAGTTTTTGTATTTATAAATAAAAGAGGAAAAAATCTTGTAAAAATAGTCCATATTCTTACTTCCCAGAAAATTCTGCATGATAAAATGTTCTAGGACTCTTCCAGGAAAAGAAATTGGTTATAATTAAGAATGTTAATAAAAATCAGAAATGCTTTATGTGATCCAGAGCAGAAAAATGAATGGAAATATTATAAAACTGGGAAATATCCAAGTTCTTCATAAGCAGTTAATAAAACATTTCATCTGGGATCAGAGAAGTACTGTTACATTCTTGAATACAATTGAGTGCAGCCATAAGCCCTTAAGATTGTAAAATGCCACTTCAGAACAAATTACACATTCAACATATCATTCAAACTCTAATCACTCAGTCTGAAGGACCCTGGATTCATTTATTAGAAACAGAAAGCTTTTGAAATTTGTTTTTCTGTGACTTACTCATGGATGATATAATGGGAATACTCAATACCCTTTTTATACATGTTTTCTTCACTCAGTCCACAATTGCTTCTTGTTCAAGAGTATGCATGTTATAGACACAAGTAGCTATCCAGTCATTCAGTATGATCTTACATCATGTTGTTCAGATCCCACTTTTTGTTACAATAACTCTCTAAAGCTCCTTCACTGGTGATGACTTAATAAAAGGGTTATAAACAGGAAAGTTAACATTTCCTTCTTTGACTTAGTAGGGACCTTTGGCATTAATGTACCTTACTATATATTCTACTTCATGGCAGGGTATATATTGGCCCTTTACTTTTCCCTGAGTCTTTTTAGCCTCTTTATATGAGAGGGTTCTGGTCATGGCTCCTCTCTATTTCTTGTTCTCTGGCTCAATCTAGATTTTTTTTTTCCCATTTACCAGAAGGGTAGTTCAAGGAAGAGATGTAAGATTGCTAGGTCCTGAGGAATATAAGAAAGCTACTTCTGGTTGCTTTCTTCCATCTGACCCTTTCTTTAAGCACACTTATGGCACAGTTTATATTTTTAAAGACAATTTTCCAAAACTTCCTTAATGTTACTTCTGTCAATAATTTCAAATTAATAGACCAATGTTTTTGCTCTGAGGCCAAAGAATATAAAAAAATTAAAGCATAACACTAAGATAATTGAAAATTATGGTCAAACATTATTAGGTTTTTAATCTGGTTCTAATTCTTTCAGGAATAAAGTAATTCCTTGTATTATGATACATAGTGCATTTCCTCTGGAAAGAACTAGAAGGCCAATAAAGTAATTTCATTTCTGTCTGCAACTTCAGTACTGTACTTTTATCCATCCCTTTAGTACTTTCTAATTTCTAAATTATGGAAAGTTCTGTCACTTTGCGTTACAACCAGACATTTTTCAAAGTTAATTTTGATGAGCTGTCTGAAGTAGTTTTAAATTAATAAACTATACTTGTATTAAGAGAAGTCAAGTTCTAAAAACCCAACATAGCTATAGTTTATAAGCAGTAGAAATAGACATTTTGGAACAAAAAAACTTTCTGTGTTAGATTAATCTTTACAGGTAGCAGTCACTCTTGCTACAGGGCATTAAGGAAGGAATGTTACGTTGGAAAAGCAAGCTCTCTTATTGAAATATTTTTTGATCTTCTGATTATGTACCACATACAGATATAAACAGATATTGGAAGGCAATGTATTTCAAGACCTTAAAAAGACACCTCTAGCACTGTGATTCTCAGAAGCATTCTAAAATAATAAAACCATGTCCTTTGCAGCAACAGGCATGAAGCTGGAGGCCATTATCCTAAGTGAATTAACACAGGAACAGAAAACTAAATACTGCATGTTGTCATTTACTAAGTAGGGGCTCATCACTGGATACACATGGACCTAATGATGGGAATGACAAACCTGGAGACTACTAGAGGGGGAAGACAGGGAAGAGGGCAAGAGTTGAAAAACTGATTGTCGAGTACCATGTGCACTACCCAGGTGATGGGATCATTTGTACTCCAAGACTCACTGTCACACAATATACCCATGTAACAAACCTGCACATGTAGCCCCTGAATTTAAAAGGTGAAATTTTGAGATATGTTTCATCAATACCTAGTTTATTGAGTGTTTTTAGCAGGCAGGGGTATTCAATTTTATTGAAGGCCTTTACTGCATCTATTGAGGTTATCGTGGGTTTTTTCATTGGTTCGGTTTATGTGATGGATTATGTTTATTGATTCACATATGTTGAACCAGCCTTGTATCCCAAGGATGAACCTGACCTGATCATGGTGGATAAACTTTTTAGCATGCTGCTGGTTTGCCAATATTGTTAGACCGGATAAAGAAAATGTGACACATATACACCATGGGATACTATGCAGCTGTAAAAAAGAATGAGTTCATGTCCTTTGCAGGGACATGGATGAAGCTGGAAACCATCATTCTCAGCAAACTAATACCAGAACAGAAAACCAAACATCACATGTTCTCACTCAAAAGTGGGGGTTGAACAGTGAGAACACATGGGCATAGGGAGGGGAACATCACACACTGGGGCCTGTCAGCAGGGTAGGGGTAAGGGAAGGGATAGCATTAGGAGAAATGCCTAATGTAGATGCTGGGTTGATGGGTGCAGCAAACCACCATGGTGCATGTATACCTATGTAACAAACCTGCATGTTCTGCACATGTATCCCAGGACATTAAGTATAATAATAAAAAAAGATGCTCTAATAAAACAACTATTTAAAATTCAAAAAAGTTAAAATTATAAAAAATTTAAAACTGCATAGAAAAATAAACACCACAATCACTAAGAAAAAGAACTAAAACCCAAACAAACAAATCTCATAAGTGTGGTAGATTATTTGCAAACATGGCCACAAATTGCCTTAGGAAGTCCCTTTCCAACTTAACTCTAACCTTGGCCATGTTACTTGCTTTACCCCCTGGACAATAACAAATGTGACACAAGCAGAGCCTTAAGGCACTTGGCATTGGCGCTAACTCCCCTGCTGTTTTTTGGAATCTGTGACCACCATGAGACCAGTGGTGAGCTGTCTCAGCTGAACTTAAGCCATAGAATCATGAGCAAATAATAATGAATCAATAACATAGAATCAACAACAAATAAATGATTGTTGTTTCAAGACAAAAAAAGAAAAAAGTTATACCTCAGCTGTTGCATTTCGTCCTTGAAATTCTTTTCCAGCCTTTTGAAATTTTGGTTCAATCTTCTTCGTTGTTTCACCAACTCTCTGCTTTTCTTCTTCATAAGCCATGGCAAGTATGCCTAAGAACAAACTTGCCATATAAAAGGAAAACCAAAAACTTACCACAACGAAAAATATCATGTAGACCTTTCCAGAAGCATAAAGTATCTAAGGAAAGGTAGAAAGTAACACAAAAGAGTAAAGTGTTATTTATCTTCCTGCATTCTCCTATTTTAAGGTAAAAAGTGAAATTTTGTTAGGAAAATAATTTAGTCATAAATGCAATGTAATCACAAGACAGTTTAAAGACTGGCTCCACCAGAAGAAATAAATGAAAAGCTTTTCAACTTGAAGCATGCATGTAAGCTATAAAATATATGCTGTGAAACCCAGGGAAGCTCAGTAATTGAATTAACTTAGGGTAAGTATTTGATTTTATGTCTTCATTGATAGAGAAAACATATTTGAAAGAATTGTCATCTCTCAATATAGAAGTTGGACAGCCTTAACATGGAAAGTTATTTTATTTGCAGTAGAATCTTTAAATACATGAAATTTAATGAAGGCAGATAATGGTTGGAGACTACTTTCTTCTGCTTATTACTTTATGGAAAAATCACAACGAAATGAAAAATTAGTCTTTACAAGGAATGGGGAGCAGGACTTTTCTTTGCCTGTCAGAGTATCTACTTTGGTGAATAACTTTTAGACAAGATACATGAGGAAGTCATATAATCCATTTACATGAATGGCATTACAGTGGGTGACATTTATGGATAGCAGAATGCATTTTAGATTGCCAAACGTAGCACTGACTAGCTTTTATTTCATAATAATTGCCTAAGACATATCAGAAAGTTTAATTTTAAAAAATTTAAAAAATTATAAGAATATTACAAATATAAAATATTATCCATTGATTTAACCACATTGATCGAAAGATGATGAAATCACCTAAGCAACACATGACTGTATTTATATGGCATTTACATTGTATTAGGTATTATGAGTAATCTAGGCATAATTTAAAGTATGTAGGAGATAATTTAAAGTATATAGGAAATATGTAGCTTATATGCAAATACTATGCCATTTTACATAAGGAACTTGAGCATTCATGGATTTTAGTATCCACCAGAGATCCTGAAACTGATCCCCCATGGATACTGAAGGACAACTATACTTTATGTTTATTATCTTATTCAACATTATTTTTAATATCAATTTCAGAAGACAAATGAAAATCAGATAGGAAAAAAGATCTCACAGCCTATGAGAGAATGTCTGAATTCAGAACTTTTGCTTTTTCCGCTACATGATGCTAGTGGAGGATAAAAGCATATGTTCTTGTTAGCATAAAACAGTACGTAATTTCTAGTTTTACTACATTTTAGCTTGAAACAGGGGCTGTACTTAGGTATTTCTCCTAATGCTATCCCTGCCCTTGCTTCCACTCACTGACAGATCCACATGGGCACAGGGAGGGGACCATCACAGTTGGGGAGTGGGGGTAAAGGGTGGGATAGCATTAGGAGAAATACCTAATGTAGATGATGGGGTGATGAGTGCAGCAAATCACCATGGCACGTGTATACCTATGCAACAATCCTGCAAGTTCTGCACATGTATCCTAGAACTTGAAGTACAGGAAAAAAAAAAAAAAACTTGGAGCACAATAATAAAGATCCTGAGCGCCCCAATAGCAGGACACTTCCAGACTGGCTCTCTGTTTCTTTGGTAGAGGGAAAGAACTGTCTTTCTACCAAGAAAAATAACTCATACATTTTGGGGGCAATAAGCAAAGAGCGAAATCTGTATTATTATAGCATATACTGTGAAATAGCCCATAAATATTCACTTGAATTTTTATTATAGTTCCATTAAATATTTCTACGTGTTAGATACTGAGAAAACAACCAAAATTAAAACAAGACAAAAATATGTATTTTTTTCTCAGACAGATAAAAAGTTAGCAGGTAGTTTCTCAGGCAGTTCATCTCCAAGCAAGAAAAATAGCTCGACAAACAACTAAAACACCACAATCTGAGGAAAGTATAGTGCCTGTGGCATTTCAGTGTAGGATGTGACTTACTCCTACATTGGGCTTGGGGAAAAGCTCAAAGAAGAAATCCTGGTTTCACAGCACAAATTTGAAGCATGAAACTGAGGGCAGATAGGGGAAACTTAAATTGAGGGAAGGGTACATCATACATGGAAATAAGTATGAGAAAAGCTTATTTAGGAAGCAGAAAACCTTTTAAGTAATTAAGCAGAGAGTATAAATTAGCATATGTTAAGAAATAAATCTGGAGATGTAGGCAGATGAGACCTTAAAGGGCACTACATATAATGCATATAGACTTGGAACTTTGGCCCACAGGAATTTGAAAAACACTGAAACATTTTTAGAAAAGGGATAACATGGTAAGATTATTTTAGAAATAAGAACCTCCTAGTGTTTAGGAGAAAACACTGAATCTTGTCAAAGAGACTGGAAATACCAATATAAGCACTAATATAACAAAATTAGAAAAATATAGTTTGTGTAAAAATGTCACTTGCAATATTTTCATGTTTTTTATTTTTTTACCAAAAATACAATTATACTGCATATATGTTTGGTCTACTTGATTTCCATTTAATATATTCTGAAACTTTATGCCCCAAATATATTGCATTAGCCTATCATTATTAATGACCTATATATACACATATACTGCCCACAATTTATCAAGTCAACCAAAGTAAGTATGGACTGGGTGTGTATGTCTGTTTATTAAAAAAAAAGTTCTCCTTCGACTATAAATAACTTCAGAAGTTAAAGTAATGCTGCTTTGAAAATAACACTGTACTTTCCACTATAATAGAACTTCTCTTTAAAGAAACACTCAATCCCCATTTTAATGAATAGCATACCTTTCTGAGAAACTATGACACACACATAATTAGTTATGAAGACAGACTCTCAGAATTTGAATTTCAATTCTCATTACAGTAAGTCTTCTGTTATTTTAACTGGAACATGATTGAATGGTTGAATATTAAAAAGGATAAGAAGAAATAGAAGAAAAAAAGAAATAGGATGCTATATGTTCAATAAATACTCCCTTAATACATGGTAACCTCATAAATTCAAAATGTTTTAACTAAAGAATTAATACCTAGAAATGTTATTTAGTGATTATCAAATGTATAATATCATAGGCTTTGGAACAAGACAGTGATCTGAGATGGGGAAGGTTCAACTACTATACATTTTGGGAGGTTAGCTGACCTCTCTAAATCTTAGTGTCTTCAAATAAAAAGCATGCACACAAACACACACACACTCTTTTTCTCCTCTCTCTCACCTTGTAGAATTGTTTCAAAAATTAAAGATGTAATACACCTGGCATTGTGGCCAGCACATAGTTTGACATTCAGTAATTCTAGTTCTCTTTCCTTTCGTCCTCCAATTCTTCTGCACATAAAAATTTAATGAACTATCTTACTTTTGACCATTATCTTAGAAGCGAGGGCATGGTGCCATTTCTAAGTACAGTTCAGATTCTCTCTGTTCTTACCTGGTGATAAAGTGCTTCAGGGTAATCCTGAGTCATTAACCGAAATAAGGCAAGGAACGCCCAGCCAAAACTGTCAAAATTTGTGAAGCCTTGATCAGGATTTATGCCGGCTTTTACACACACATATCCTTCGGGACACTGACTAAAGAAGACAAAGAGAAAGACTGCTTACTGTTAGGTGACTTTCAGATTATGGCCAAATCATAAATATAGAACATCTGTCCTGAATAATAGAGAACTCCCTCTTCCACGGGGAGAGTAGTAAGTCTCCCAAACAATGGCCTGCTAAAAAGTTGCAAGGGAGTTGGATTTTATGTTGATACAGCGAATGGTGTTAATTAAGCACAATGAAAAAGGGGCCTCAAAAGCATTTTTTTGCGAAGCCAATTTTTGTATTTCTTTGTTTTTTCATTGACAAAAACTGTATATATTTGTGAAGTACAACATGCTATTTTGAAATATGCGTGTATCATGAAATGAACAAATGGGGCTAATTAACATATGCGTATCTCACATATTTATTTTTGTGTGTGTGTGTGGTGAGAATACTTAATATCTATCATCTCACCATTTTCAAGAATAAAATACCTTGTATTAACTATATCTTTACTACTCCAATATTAAGGGAGAAATACCTGAACATCAGAGAGAAGGTATAACTGATGGAAAATAGTACTGATAAAAATACACCTGCAGTGATTGAGGGTATAATTTTCTAATGATTTCATCTCAAGCCCTTACAGCCCATTATTTAAGGGTGAGAAAACATTTATCGTATCAATAATTTATATGCAGTATTTGCACATGGGGAGGCAGATCAAATTAAATATTTATTTTATTTCCTTTCAGGGAGTCCTCCTACTTCTGTCTACTTAGGGGCTTTGGTGTTGTGTTCCATTATTACAGTAGCGGCCCAATAAATCAGGCTTCCTCTCGCCATGGCCTTGTATAGCTCTTACTCACATTATTTTGGGTTTAATCATGATACTTGTTTTAGTTTTAAGGGAATAAGGAGAGGTTTAAAAATCACTTGTGCATCAGAACTTGCTAAATTGCCGACCCATCGTATCTGAACAAATGAAGTTTTGTTGTTGTTTTGTTGTGCTGAGATAGTTTACCATGCAGCCAAGTATGACTGATGCAGAAGAAACACTGCATGACTTTCTCTTCTTGCCTTGAAATTTGCCATTGTATCATGAATATCCATGACCGTTATCTCAAAAAGGTATTTCAGGTTATATTTGATTTTGGAATGTACATAAAAGGAATTAGCTGAAATGGGATGGAACAGATACAAGGAGATGGGTTCACCATTTGGATATGAGAATAGAATGGAAGCCCAGGAGGAACTGGGCAAAAAATAGGTGCTGAGGCCAGGAGCAGGGCACAGTGGCTCACGCCTGTAATCTCAGCACTTTGGAAAGCCAAGGCAGGTGGATCCCTTGAGCTCAGGAGGTCAAGACTAGCTAGGGCAACATGGTGAAACCCTGTTCTAAAAACACAAAAATTAGCTGGGCATGGTGGCATATGCCAGTAATCCCAGCTACTTGGGAAGCAGAGACACGAAACTCACTTGAACCCAGGAGGCAGAGGTTGCATTGAGCAGAGATCATGCCACTGCACTGCACTGCAGCCTGGGCAACAGAGCAAGATTCAGTCTCAAACCAACACATACACACACACACACATACACACACACACACACACACACACACACACTCACATGCTGCACAAGTGAGAAAATATCCAAATCCCTTGAATTTAACTAAACCATATAACTAACTCATGCTCTCCTTCCCCATGTGCCTTTTGTTAATCTGGGCATCAGAATGTAAGAAAGAGCTGAGTTTACAGATGTTTGCTAAATCATCTCAGCTGAGCAAAGCAACACCACGAGGGAATTACGTGTGTCACACACTGCTGAGAAGTGCCCTGTTTCCACTTTCGGAATTGGAATTTTCATCTGAAATTATAGGACAATGAGACATGACAGTTTTGTCATCTCACTGAAGAATTATTCTGAAATGCTGATTTTAAGAAACAGCTTTTTATTAATGTAAATTATAAACAGAAAAACATATAAGATATTAAGTGAAATATCAGCATATCTTTAATATTTCTTTTCTCCCAAAACTTCTTTCCAAAGGATAGATTTCTATTGTCTTTCTTGGTCATTTTCAGTAGCTCTGGAGCCCTCCTGAAAACAAGATTCTTGTTTAAGTCTGGGCTCTGCAATTAACTAGCTTCTTGACCTCAAAGAAATCATTGAATTAGTCTGACTACTGCTTTTTCTGTAAAATTGGATGAACAGTATTCCAGATTGCATACTTCTGCTATGGTCTGAGTGTTTGTGTTCCCTCAACATTCATGCTGAAATTCTAACTCCCAAGGTGATTAGAAGGTGGAGCCTTTGATAGGTAATTAGGTCATGAGAGTGAAGTCCTCTTGAATATGATCAGTATCTCCAGAGAAGAGGCGTGAAAGAAACCTCCGGCCTCTTCTGCCATGTGAGGACACAGCAAAAAGGCACCATCTATGAGCCAGAGGGCAGGCCCTGACCAAACACCAAATTTGCCCAGCACCTTGATCTGGACTTCTCAGCCTCCCAGACTGTGAGTAATAAATTTCTGTTGTTTTTAAACCAACCAGTCTACAGTATTTTGTTAATGTGGCCCAAGTAGACTAAGACAATTCAGTATGGTTTTGACGATGAGCTGAGATAATGCAATCAAATGGGAACCAAAAATAAAAGCAATGGTCCTTCATTAAGTACCATTGACAGGTGATAATGATTTAATAGAAGAAAACTAATACCACTTACCCAGCATCTGTTCTGTTGCCACAAAGGAGAGCATATCTTTCTCCTTCCAAATAATAAAAGTTTTCTGTTTCTGAAAAATAGGCAAGAAATGATATTCTATATCTAATCATGAGTTAGCAGCACATTGGAAGTCCATTTGGATCTCTGCAGAAGCTAAAATCCCTTTCTGCAGTTGAGAAGAAAAGAGCAATTATCCTGGCCTTTATAACCTAGCATCTGGTACACAAGCCAAAGCCTTTGGGAATCTAGCAAGATGTTGAATGTTCAGCATTTCTGGGAAGACTGCTTTGCCTTTAAACAAAAGTTTCAATTTTTGATATACGTGGCAAGGTGATTCTTACCTCGAATATAATATGGGTTTCCAGTTCTGTTGTGCAGGGTTTCATTTTCATTCTCTTGGGGCCATCGAAAACATTTATGTTTCAGGTTACCCATGAAAAGCCCCATCCCAATTAGAGAGAATATGCTCAGAAAAAACAGAGTTAGGATAATGACACCAGTAAGTTTCTTCACGCAGCAGATCAGAATCCCTACAAGAGACTTCAGACCTGGAAAGAGAAACATTTGTTTTTAACGTAATATAATACTTTGGAAAAGCACTATTGGTGAATCTCTCCCATAGCAACTGCATACTCCATTGAAATCAACAGTTTTATCTTATAATGTAATTCTAATTATTTGGGTCTCATAAAGAAAGTGAATAATAAATGAAATGTTGAGGTTTATGTATTATTGCTAATTTATAATACCTAACAAAATAATTCAGGCACACTATTTAAAATTATTTGTTTGTTTCTCTTTGTAAAGAAAAACAATCTCCTTCTCTTGGTTACCATGAGTCATACCAACCTCCAGTGTTTATAAGTAAAGGTGTAAGGTTATAAATCAAAATTAAATTGTTCTTGAAAAAAGAAATAGTTTGAAACAGCAGTATTCTGTATTATTCTTTAATCAACTTTATAAGAATTCAATTTCGTGAGCTAATGAAATAAAAGTGAAGAATTTCAATATGCAGAAATGAGAATTACACAACAGTGATCTATGTAAACTGTATTTACATCAGAATACTAATAGAGAATTCAAACTTAAACCTGGCTTTATTTAAGGATACACATTTTTCTAATTATAAGTAACATGCTGAATTCTGAGTAGAAAAAAAAATAACATAATCATATCTCATAGAATAAATTACTATTAACTTAGTGATGTATAAACTTTTTTTCTCCCCTCCCTCCCTTTCTCCTCCCTTTTCTTTTTCATTTCCTCTCTTATTTGCTGGTCTGTGTGCATTTAGTATCCTAATACCTGCTCAGCACAATATGAGTGAGAATATACTAACTCTGTGATATTAACCAAGCAAGTAATCAACATTTCTATGCCTTAGTTTTATGATTTTTTAAAGTGGAAATAATACCTACTTTCTATCTTATTGTGAGAATTGAAAAGTATTCCTTTGAATAACTTCAAATGATTAGATTTCTTGAGTAAAATATGACAGGGTTGAAATAAAGTCATTCTGTGACTACAGAAATGTGATAATCTAGATTAAATATGCAATTTTAATTTGACATCATAATAAAATACGTTTATAGCCTCCTTTTGCCACTTAGATTGTATTATTCTTTTTAGTATGAGCAAGTATTTTCAAAGTATTATACCAGATATATATTAGAATTTCTGTGTCAAATATGCAACAGTGTTTTAGTGTTGATAAATCTGTTCACATTGTTTTTGAGAGATGTTGAACTAATGTATAAACCAGACTATAAGCCTTCACTAAAACTGGAACATTTCAAAACATTGTTGGCAGTTTATAAGAAAAAATAAAATCATTTCAATGTAATTTCTGTACTTAACTATTCTGAACTTTTAAAATAGGTATATTTGCATTGTGTAATTATTTGGTAACTATCATGAGTTGCGTGTGTGTGTGTGTGTGTGTGTGTGTGTGTGTGTGTGTGTGTGTTTTATTTTCTATTTTTTTGAGATGGAGTCTCACTCTGTCACCAGGCTGGAGTGAAATGGTGCAATCTTGGCTCACTGAAACCTCTGCCTCCCAGGTTCAAGCGATTCTCCTGCCTCTGCCTACTGAGTAGCTGGAACTACAGATGCGTGCCACCACAACTAGCTAATTTTTGTATTTTTAGTGGAGAAGGGCTTTCACCATATTGATCAAGCTGGTCTTGAACTCCCGATCTCATGATTAGCCTGCCTTGGCCTCCCAAAGTTCTGGGATTATAGGTATAAGCCACTGCGCCAGCAGAGTCCTTTGTATATTTTTATACTGAAATTTTTTTCATATTGTGTTGGAAATGTTTTTAAGAAGAGCAATTCTTAAAGAAAAATAAATGCTTGTGCATATGTATGTGTGTTTGTGTGTATATATGTATATATATAATAATGAAAATTATTCTATAATTCTATAAAATTCTATTAATTCTATAAAAATTTGATGGTGACATTTTTTTCCATGAAACAAAATGTCAGCACTAAAATTAAACCTCCAATAGAAACTGAGTATATGATGGAAATATATATCTATCTCTATATATGTGTTAAATTGGATTTCAACATAAAATTATTAAATTTTTATAATATTGGCATCTATTTCGAAGTTTTCTAAAATGCAAATAAAATATGTCTCTAGCTCAAGAATGATCCACAGATATCCATGTGGTAACTTCTGACTTACAATATTTGCATTCTGTTTTGCAACTCACTAACAACAGTAATTTGCATTCCATTTTCTGCTGAAATGATTTCAGAGCTCATTGCAATTACTTTTAGAACTAAATCCTCTCATTGTGAAATATTTTATTTTCATACTTATTTTTTCAGCAGAGATTCTGAAAGTATACACATCTATAGTTTCAGAATTCTCTCATAGCTGAGAATATCCATTTGTTAACTATACACACAACTGACAGTCAAGTATAGAATTCTAGTGTCTCAACTTCCCTGCCTACACTTTTCCCCAAACTCTCAAACACCATTAATTTTAATGTTAACATGAGGTCAAACAGTGATATATGTTTCTCACTTTTTTGCTTGAAGAATTTATAATACTTTTATTCTTTAATATCTTACATTTATAACATTTTATAATATGTCTAAGTATATATTATTGTTTTATTTATCTACTATAAGCTGATCTCTTTCATTTGTAGGGTATTTTTCCAGTTAAAATTTTTTTAATTTTTTTCTACTGTAAATATTTTAATAATATATTTATTTTGGTCCATTTTCAGGACCACCATTTATGCATAAGATGGAATTCAATTTTTTCTCATACATTAATCCATTCCATTTTTCAGTTCTAGTGTATGAATACAGAACTCCTCTAGTCTTTCCTTATACAAGTGTGCTTGTTTGCTCCGTATTCACCTAGGGTAGTATAATTTTTATCACTTTTTTGTCTTAACGTTAGTTATATTTGCCTATATTACTATCTTGTTTCATCTTCTGTTGAGAAAATCTATGTTTTCTTCTGTTGGGACTACAAAAAGATAATTTATTATGTATGCTTCTAATTTTAAGCACATTTATTTTAAAAGAGGAGACTTTCTTTCTATTAAATATATGTTTCTCTTTCTATATTGCAAAATATTTTCATACACTCCATATTGCTGGTATGTGCCCACTATATTCTCCCTTGGGGGAAAAAAAAGTGAGAGCTCCCTTCTAGCCTATAGGCTTCTAACTCTAGTGAATGAATTCTTCTTTTATTACTATAATTTGAATTCTTCTGATTTATTTAATAATTCTTACCTCTAGTCTTAAGATGAAGATGCCCGTGAAATATGTGGGGAGTAGTAAGGGAGCCAGAGCTGTGAAAATTCCTGACAGGGTAACTCTCACTACTTGATTCATTCACTAGATTTGGTAAAGCTACCATTCAACAGACTGTTTTTATTAAAAGCTTTACTGAGATATAATTCACAAGCCCTACAATTCACCAGCTTAATGTGGACAAATCAATGTTTTAGTATGTTCACAGATTATGAATTATCATCATACTTCCCTAATCTGTTTTTCTCCTTTGTTCTGCCTGAACTATAAATACATAGCGTACGTAGATATAGCCTTCTTTGTGGTCTATGAAAGTTGCCTGTAGACTTTGTTTTTGCTTTTATTACATTCCTCTTTTGCTTTCTTGATACAGCTATATCATAACACTTCTGACTTGCAGCTTAACGTTCTGGGTAGAATTGTTCCTATCTAACTGTTCTTATTAACTGACAATAATAAACTGGAAGGTGTTGGTGTGCCTCTGCTAGAATGTCTTTAGAAATGGGAGCTGTAAATTCGTCTTCAATGTGGTAAAGTTGCAACCACATTGATGGAAGATGCATTTTGTGGCACGTGAACTGCCCCCATCCAAGCACTCAAAGTAAAGGGGAATTCATCTTATTTTATATTACTTTGTTCATGTCACGTGATTTCTTGATAAAATGAGGAAAAGAAATAAGCAGATCAGACATCTGTCTAGACCACTATTGCTCTCAGAAGTCTAAGAAGAATTTTATAAGTTCATAATTAACTTGTAATAATTACCAATTAAAATATATTTGATTGATGCCTATATTATGATTTTCTAAAAATTGAGCCTACACCAAATAAATAATAGTGAATGTCTTTCTTCTCCTTCCTGGAGTGACATAAATTTAAAGATCAGATAATTCATTGGTTTCAAAGTGGAAACATTATTCAATACTTCCTCTGAACAACACTAGGGAAGTTCATACATGGTGGTATATAAAACAAAATGAAGAAAATACATTCAGTGCAATTTCTTACCTTGATTTAAAGGAATAATCTTTAAAATTCTCAAAGTTCTTGCAGTTTGAAGCATAGGAATGAAGCTTAGAGGTGAATATCTTATAATAATCCTGTGGAATTAAGTTAGAGTTATTTAAAAGTCAAATTACATCTATGCTACTTATTTTTGGCTTTTTATGGTTTTGAAACTTATTTTTTAAACCATATATGCAAACATTTCCCTTGATAACATGATTCCATATTGCAAACAGTTTTATTATTGATTGTAAGACAAAGATTGCTAAGGTGGAAGGTGGCCAGGTAATTATTAATCTATAAACTTAAATTATGGGAGTTTACAAAAGGTTGACACTGTGAATACACTTAATTTCTTATCAAACATAAATCTTTTGTTATCTAATTGCTGAAAAGATAGTTACAATAAAAAATGAATATCTAGTTTTTTAAGGAATAGACTCATTTTAAGTATTTAGACTGATGATGATGATGGTAATTAGGATGTGATATGATGATAAAGATGAAGAGATAATGAGGATGAAGATGGTGATGATATTGACGATGATGGTGATGGTGATGATGGTATAAGTCAGACTGTGTATTGATTAAAAGCACAGACTCTGAAGCCAGACTGCTTGTTTAGAAATCCAGGCTCTACCATTAACTAACTGGGCAACATGAGCAAATTATTTAAATCTTTCTTGCCTCAGTTTCCTTGATTGTAAGGTGGGGTTAATAACACTTCCTGATTGAGAGGGTTTTTTGAGGGATTTAATGAATTCACTGATGTGAAGTACATAGAAGAGCACCTGTAACATAGTAAGGGCTCTGAAAGTGTTAACTAACAGCAACAACAAAACAGCAAATTCAATGGTAACAATAGTAAAAGTGTAATGGTAATGATTACAGTGATATGAGACACTATTTTAGAATGCTTACAATATAGCAGACACTGTTTATGCTCTTTATAAACGTTAGTTTTAAAACTGATCAAAAATCTACATAGAGAAAATCATTTTAGCCGGGCGCGGTGGCTAAAGCCTGTAATCCCAGCACTTTGGGAGGCCGAGGCAGGTGGATCACGAGGTCGAGAGATCGAGACCATCCTGGTCAACATGGTGAAACCCCGTCTCTACTAAAGATACAAAAAATTAGCTGGGCATGGTGGCACGTGCCTGTAATCCCAGCTACTCAGGAGGCTGAGGCAGGAGAATTGCCTGAACCCAGGAGACGGAGGTTGCGGTGAGCCGAGATCGTGCCATTGCACTCCAGCCTGGGTAACAAGAGCGAAACTCCATCTCAAAAAAAAAAAAAAAAAAAAAGGAAAATCATTTTAAATTATTTTTAATAAGACTGACGCCAGTAATGATTTCTATAGCTAGAAAAGAAAATACATTAAGTAGAAGTATTTAAAAAAATACATGAAATTGTTAGAATTGTCTGAAGCATTCCAGAAAATCTGTGTATGGGGTGGGTGTTAAAGATACCTTATTCTGATCTCTAGCATATTTACTGGTCTTAAGCAAGGTAGCTACATGTAATGTAGTTTAAGAATTGAGAATCAAATCTGCTGGGACATTCTCCTAAGTCTTAGCAGATTCTTTTCTCACTTATCACTAAAAGGCACACTTAAATGCACAAATTCAATCATTATCATTCTTTCTCCAAATAGAAAGCAGAAAACAATCCACTCCTTTCATTTTTATTGCATCTTCTGAGGACCAGGTAAGAGGCAGCTGAAATAACTCATTATAACTTTGAAGTGTTCTTCATTTGCAGACTATCTGCAGGCAGAAATTTTTGTAGACATCACCTATTTTTTATGAAAAACATTTTCTGAGCAAAACATTAAAATAGACTCAATTTAAAGACATACTCACTCAAACACAGTTATGCTGAAATCAAGCCAGTTCCATGGATCACCAAGGAAGGAAAAAGATCCTGCCCAGACACCTCTTGCAAAGAGTTTTACAAGTATTTCAAATGTGTAAATTCCAAGCAAAGTATTTCTGCAGAAATTTTTTTCAAACAATATTAATGGTGAGAATAACACATTGTCAGCTCTGAAATACCATGTCTATGATAACTAGCTAGCATTTAAGAATAAGTCATCCGAATGGTGAGAGCAGGTCTACTTGGTAGGCCAAAACAAACCAACCACCAATAAATTAGACAACATTCAAGAAAGTAAGTGCTCCTTGAGCCCTAGCTCAATGCTTCAAATAGGATTTCTAGGGTAGGTTGTGTCTTACAGCATTTGCTGGTACATTTGACTATTAAAGCTTTTCATTACTGTAGCCACGTAGTATAATCTGAACTGAGGTAGCATGATGCCTCCAGCTTTGTTCTTTTTGCTTAGGATTGCCTTGGCTATTTGGGTTTTTTGGTTCCATATGAATTTTCTTTTACAGGAACATGGATGGAGCTGGAGGGCATTAACCTTACCAAACACAGACATGGAAAACTAAATACCACATGTTTCCACTTAGAAGTGGGAGCTAAATGATGAGAACACATAGAGACATAGAGGAGAACAACACACACTGGGGCCTTGCGGAGGGTGGAAGGTGGGATGAGGGAGAGGATCACAAAAAAAGTAACTGGTGGGAGCTAAGCTTAATACCTGGGTGATGAAAATATCTGCATTAACAAAACCCCATGACACAAGTTTACCCATCTAACAAACCTGCACTTGTGCCTCTGAACTTACAAGGTTAAAAAAAAAAAAAAAAAAAAACAACTTTTTCAATAAAGCCCAGCTGAGAGGTGATAGTTTTATGTATTATGTAGGTAAATAATAAAAACAGCAAATATCAAATTTGCTCCGTATAGAGATTACACAATAAGTATTAATTATCACTAAGGGAACGTGTGAGATCTAATTTTATTAGGTACATATTCAAGGATTTTTTTTATGGTGAATAATGTTATAGTCACCTTCCCAAATCTACTCGTTTTAGGAACAATATTAAAGATGAAAAGGTGACTTCAAGAAAGCCTTTTCCCCAGAAAATTTAACAGGCCTTTTCATCCTTACAGTACAAAGCAAGTCAGACTACTGGCATGTCTTAGGAAAGAGAGGAGTAGAACAGAAAGGAAGAGAAAGTGATTTTCTTAATGAGTGGAAAGGACCGAAAGTTACTTGAGTTAGAAGCAAATCAGGAATGAGATTTCAATAGCAAAGAAGATGGGAAGGAAGCACTGAAATATTATCTTAATCATTAATAAGTATTAAATTTATTATAATATAATATATATAATTCGATGTTATGGAAATAAAATGTAAACTATTAATATATAATTATATATGATATGTATAATGTAATTATATAACTTACTCTACTACTGGTCTCCATTTTGGCAAATCGGTAAAGGACATAAATATGCAATCAGTCAGGACACTAATTAGAATAAACAGCCGGAAAAGGGTAGCTTATAGTCAAGAAATCATAGATAATAAATGATATTGGAAAAGATATATTTCTATAAAATATATTTATATACAATGAGCTAAAATATTTTCTTAAATATTGAAAAAACATTAATCTTGTTGAACAATGGGCATTAATACTTGTTAATATTTACTATTGTGTGTATTAGAAAATATACTTTATATGTATTTTCAAATGTGGAACACTTGATGAAGTATAATCTAGATTTCAATATGACCTAACATGAGAAATAAACTCAATAAAGAAAAATATGCAGAAATAGTTGAATAACAGTATAGTTGCATTTAATGTCAGCACAGTTTAAATTCAACAAGTCAACAGAAAAGGATATGGATGCACCAAAACCTTGATAGTTGTTCCTCTAATACAATTGAAAGGAGACAATGTACACAAGATGGAAGCAGCATTGAATCTGAAGATTGTTCTTTTTTTATTTAATACTATGAAAGTCTGTAAGAAGAAAAGTGATCAAGTGAAATTAGAACTCAGAAACATAATCTCATCAATTATATAACATACTGCCAATCAATAATCATTATAGTCTTGGACTCTAACAGCTATACTTTTCTTTTTTATATGTTTTTGTAGACTAAATCAAATGGAAATATTTTAGCTGTATTCATTCATATTTAGGCTTATCTGTCTACCATTTCCACTTTTTTTTTTTTGCTACTGTTACACCCACAGTAACAGTTTGTCACAAGCCACAACCTCCAGTCCCCTTAGAGAACTAACAGAATAGGAAGAACACAACACCCAATGGCTCACAAGGATCCTTTAAAAATGCCAAAGCCAGTGCATCAGAGAACATAATGAATGTTAAAAGTTAGATTTTATTTCAGAGCAAATCAAATGTGGGATTATGATAGTAAAGAATATCCAATGCATCGAAATAGTACATTAATTCTGGACAATTATCTATGAAATAAAACCAAACTTGCATTATATTATTCACATAGATATATCTAACCCAGAAATTTATAACATGTTACACCTAAGACATTAAGATATTAGAGCCTTAAAATTCTAACAAAAAATTATGAAATATCAGAAATATCCTGAAATTTAAATTGAGTCATGTATCTATGTATGTGTGCATTCTTTTGTATGTTCATGAATGTATGTGTGTGTATATAGATATATATACCTATATATAAATAAATTTGTATATTTTTATATTTGTGTATATATATATATATATTCACTATATATATATCTGGAAAAAATTTTATTGTGGGGTATAAAAAAATAAATAGTGAATACTTTATGGCTTATAGTCTAAAAGAGTATATTTTATAATTTATAATATATAACATAGTGAGATACAATAAATTATATACTAGAATTATATATTAAATACAATCTATTAGATATTACAGCATTATAAATTATACAGATGAATATTTTTATATGTATAGAAAAATAGATGACTGTACAAATATATATTCAACAATAGTTCATGAATAAATGTTCTAAATAGAAACTAAACTGTAATATTCTTGATATTCTTTAATCAATTGATTCTTTAATCAATTCTTCTTGATAAAATGTTTTTCTAACATACAATCTGTGAACAGTTTGACCTATGCTATAGCTATTTCTATTTTAAAAGCAAACAGAAAATAAAAATTTTTAAAAGCCAAAGTAAGTAAATCTGATTTTTAAAAATGTGCTTTCCATGCTATTTTCCAGAACAATCTCAAACTTCACATAAGAGGTAGTATCTGTCATTGTGATGAAATGAGGAATATCAGATACAAAATTTCCCAATTTTAAGAGCTGAAATAGTTTTATTAATTATAAAAGTACTTATTTTATGCCACTTTTAACAGAATAAACCAAATCCAACTCAAAAGTTTAAATAACTTGTCATTCATAACAGCACTTCGTATACTAAACTATCCTTGCGGTTCTTGCCCCAGATGTTTCATGGGAACTAGACTAAGAGTAACTCTGGGTCTTGCTTTATTTTTCAAAATCTTTGGTTTTGTCTTCAATAACACACCTAGCGCTTTGCCAATCATGTCTGTACACACTGCAGTGGACTCAGAACTCTACGATATTATACCCTAAGGTTACTGTGCCGTATCAATCACTATGACATAAACATAGCAAAAACTGAATGTAGAAATAATTGAGATGAGGGCTTAACTTATACTTTCATTAAAATGCTCTCAAGATTAGCATGTATTTTATGACATGCTGCATAATGCTCATGGAGGCTCCCAGAGATACGAGCGTCTTTTTAAGTTAATATACACGTTTCTACCGTAAAATGTCAATACTCATCCAGTATGACAAGTTTTCCAAATAATTGTAATTTATTTCAAAAAGTCACTTTGTCTTCTATCCAGAGAATGTGGTTCAATTCCTTGTCGCCCATTTGATAATATCATTGAATGCTCTACAAGAATATGAAATTACATTTGTTCACTATGAAGCTAATCATCACCTCCCCCGAATCTGATCTTCTTTCTAGTTAATACATTTTGTCAGTGGCATCATTTTGTCATTTCCTCCAAGCTGAAAACCTTGGCATTATTAGTCAGTCAAATCCTGCTGCTTCTTCTCAGCTTTGTTTTCTCTGTCTCCTCTTGACTTCAGGCCTGGATTACTCTCTCTCTTATTTCATCTTTCTAATCCTGTCTCTTCCATGCAGTCATCATTTAGAAATCTACTGGGTCAATGCTACTTAAACATTACACTCATTGCATCAGTCCTTTGATCACCACATTAAAACCATGTTGACATCTCCATTACCTCAGCTCATATCTCGCAACTTAAAACAGCTAAGTTTCCAGTTATAGCATCACTTTCTCTTTCCCCCCACTTCCAGAATCATTCTCTGCTCTTGCCTACACACAGGTCTTTCCTTTGCCTTATTAAAACTTTGAAGTGCTCTTTAAGCTATAACTCAAATTTTGTATCCTTATCCTTAATGATTCTTTCAGCTTAATTGGTTCACACCAATCTCTGATTCCTAAATATAATTATTTTCACATCTAGTATTTTGTGCTTGTACTGAGGTTGTACATATAGTAGTAGGTGCCTAAAGTAATTCTGGATATAAGGAGTAAGTATATGCATGTATGAATGAATAAAAAAGATAAATATCATATAGATTGTATTTACTTTTCTTCTGAGAACACATCACATTGAACATTTTAAGTTGTTGTGACTATTCTAGGCATTTTATAGGCATTTTAAAATTGATAACCACAAATGGACAATCATCATGCTCCCTTAAAATATTTCACTTACATTAAGGCATACTAATACATATATTAAGTAGAGTAATCCAAAAGATAATACCTAACCAAGTAAGATACCAGTTTTGATAAAAATCTCCAATATGTGTGTTCCCAAAATGAGTTATCTTATGCAGTTCTGTATAATTTTCCTATCTCAATTACATTTTCTGTATGTCTGGAAATAAAACAATAAAAATGTCATCAAAATAATCTCAATTAATTCTCACATTTTTTTTCTCGTGGTAGTATGGGTCCACATCTTCCAAGGGCTCTGACACCATTCCTCGAGAAAGGTTTCCATAAGTTAATGGAAGCTCTTTGCCAACTTCCAAGTCAATATTTGGCTTTATATCTTCTTCTTCATGTTCCTCATTATGCGTTTTAGCAATACGCTGTTGTATACGTTCAAAAGACTCTCTAGTGAAGGGAACAAGGCCCTTAGGTTCTAGTGAAGCCAACATTTCCAATTTTGTACCTGCAAAAAATTCTATGTTAAAGTTGGCCATATTAATAAAAACAAAGTACAAAAGGTTGCGTCATGAAAAATAGAGACCAGTAAACTGAATACATGCATTTAAAGAATATATTCCTTAGTGTTGTAGAAATCTAAGTTGTCCTGAGTTTTACTGTACTTAATATCAAACTTAATTTGTAATTTCATGAGTAACTCAATCAATCTGTTTAACTTATTCATCTTTTTTTTTTTTTTTTTTTTTTTTTTTTGAGACGGAGTTTCACTCTTGTTACCCAGGCTGGAGTGCAATGGCGCGATCTCGGCTCACCGCAACCTCCACCTCCTGGGTTCAGGCAATTCTCCTGCCTCAGCCTCCTGAGTAGCTGGGATTATAGGCACGTGCCAACATGCCCAGCTAATTTTTTTGTATTTTTAGTAGAGATGGGGTTTCACCATGTTGACCAGGATGGTCTCGATCTCTTGACCTCGTGATCCACCCGCCTCGGCCTCCCAAAGTGCTGGGATTACAGGCTTGAGCCACCTGCACCCGGCACTTATTCATCTTTTTAATACTTTTTCTTTTACTGAAATTTACATTTCAACTTCTCCATTCTAATAAGAGATTTTTTTTTTTTTTTAGAAATCTCTTTTTTTTGCTAGAGATCTTTTTTCCTGGCAAATCCAATCATTTCCCTGTGAGACATATTTAACAATTGACTACACTCTTTTTTAAACTTACTCTTCATTGGCTCTACACCCTACTCTTCCCCGTCTCTTTTTGTATCTCCGATTACTTTTCTTAAATCAATTTTAACATGGGTCAAATTTTAACCCAAATTTCAACTCTGATATCTCTTAAGATTTTACCTTCTTCCTCAGTTATATCTATCATTCTGATGAATGCATGGGCAAACAGAGTTTTAATGACTCTTTATATACAAATATTTACCAAGCACACGTGAGTATTTCCCAAAGGCTTTCTTCCCCCAGATGCCTATATAGTAACTTCACCAGTGGCAGCAACTTAACAGGTAAAAACAAAATTCATTGTCTTTCTGCGTGACTAGAATTACCCTTTAACCTCTCAGCCACTGTAAAAATAAAAACTAATTACCTTGAAAATTATTCATGGCATTTTTCTCTCTGTCATCAATCTCTATACACAAAATAATTTTCTTTCAACAATTTTCTATTATGAATCTTGAATACTATGTATCTATATATGCCCTTGAATGTAACCATCTTTGTAATTCTATATTTGGGGTACTCTCATAGTTTTCACATATTTCAACTCTAGTCTTGGATATGGGATCTAGTCTTTGAAATAGATAACTAGTTCAAATGATCCTATAGGCAATTCAAAGTGCTATTCATTAAATGTGATTTCATGCATAAATTCCCCATTCATCAGCTTTACTCACTTTTCACATATGCAAATATTTTATTTTACTAATTTGTTCCAGTCCAATTCCTGTCAAAATGTACTCTTCCAATGATTCTATTCAATGTCAAATGATTAATTTTTCTTTATTTGTTCACAGAAACCCTCTTTGTAATTTTATTATTAAAATTAAAGATAACAAATTGTATTTGATATTGTGACATTTTCCATCTGTGTATTTTCTCTCACAGTGCTGGAACTAGCTGAATTACTTCTATAAGATTTTCCCAAGACAGAAATCACCCAAACACATGTATACACATACATATGTTCTACTTCAGAATTTTTCACTGTTGTTCAAAAGTGAGTTGTTTAGTACTTTAACACATTGTTTGTCTATTAATTAAAAGTAAGCAAAAGATAAGTTATTTAATATTACTGGGACACCACTCATCACAAGAATCAGACTTCAACTGCTAGCATAAATAAATGAAGGACAGGATATATTCTAAATATACAAAATGCAATCTTATAGACATTGAAAGAAAGAATACATAGTACATTTCTGTGTCATAAATGTACTGCAGAAAATAAAAATGAGAAGTAAAGATAAAAATAAAAATTGGGATGACTACTTGTACCTTTCATGGAATCCAGTTTTCTGGGTTTTGCTTTGCTGTTCATGTCTGCCGCATTCTACTTAAAGAATGGCATCCTTTTCTAACTTCTAAGAATGCACATAGACTAAAAATACTGACACTCTTAACTTTCTTCGGTTTTTCAGTCTAAGTTCTGACCATATACCTATAACATATGTCTCAAAAGATAGGTAAATAAAAATATACTTTAATTGACTGAACCCAGCCTGTGGATTCATTTACACTTGGTTCAGTCATCTGTGATCAAAGACAGGAATGTTTTTTGCAATAGCAGTGGGTTCTCACACCCAAGTCCTTCAACAAATGTTTCAGGGATATGGTACAAGGAAATTTTAAAGGGAAGAACCTGGACTAGGAAGGGCAACATATATCTACATATAGCTGTCTTCCCAGACTAATGGTATAAAAACTCACATTAAAATTTACTTATTTCCAAATATCCTTCTCAATATCATGCACATAACTGAGACATCAAAAGTTTGCTAAGATTATTTCTATTTATACCATATGCATACATATACAAACATGTATATGGTCACATTTCACATATTAAACTTTACTGAGGGGAGCCAATATGTGCTGAATAAGTACAATTGTGAGTATGGAGCTAGATAACTAAGTTATCTCTTACATATGAAATCTTTTTTCCTTTAAAATAACAGCTTGTCAAAATATTTTTTACACAGAGATCCTTGAATATATATTAAATAATTTTTAAATAACTTATTGGTTATCTTTATAAATGGTCCTTATTACATTATAATAAAATATGTGTTACTCCCAAAGGCACTGCTGAATGATCCTGTTATGCTTTTAGACTTTTGTTTCCTGCCTTAGCAATCAACTGTGACTTGATATTGTCTTGCTATTTCTAATCTCCAAGTTCTATGTGGAAAGAGTATCTAAATTTCTGGGTGAAGAACTAAAGATTATTGAATCTCTTCAAAGAAAAAAATTCATGGGCTCTGTGATAGTTACTGGCTGCTCAGGGACATTTTTCTCTTTACATAAATCAACCCTATTTGTGCTCTACTTTCTCACCATAAGCCTTGATTATTAAATAAGGAAAGTGAAGTAAAATATATGTAATTGAACATTAGTAAGTCAGTTTATAAAATGTCTCACAAGATAAAAAAAAAATGTGCTAGATGGTATTAAAATAAGATAGGCCTATATTTTTGTCTAAAGGCTGGTGGCCAATGAATATGACATACCCAATTTATCTATATTCTATATGACTTATTCAAAATATCAACAATTTAGGTTGTGATAGAGAAACAACCTAGTAGAAACACATTAAACAAATAAAATCATGAACTTTGGACTTAGACCTACAGTCACATCCTAAACTCTGTTACTAATGTTCTAAGAAAACTCAGTCAAAATATTTAATAATCCTGAATGCATTTTCTCAGTCATAAATTGGAATTCCTCCTCAGGTTAAATGAGGATAAATCAAAATAATATAAGTTAAAAATATCTAGTACAGTGATTGGCACATAATACATGAAAAATAAATATAAATTTTTAACTGTGATAAAATTTGCCATATGAGAATGGTGAGTCAAATTTACTAGAAAAAGAATATAATAGGAATACTTGTAAAACTTCAAAAATTCAAAAATACCCATTGGCACAACTACAGCAGAGAAGAGATATGCTTTTGTAACAGAGAAAATTGTCAAGTGATTTTACTTAATAGCCATTGCAATACAAATCAATACTAATTTGTGTCTGTCACAAACACTAATATAATCTCTATCTGTGTTGATGGAAGATGCAGGGAGCAGCCCTTTTCTACTGTGTTGTAATCTAAGAACACCACACCTGAAAGGCACATACATGAACTGAAGGGCCTTCAAATGGAACCAGCATGTTGATTAAGTAAAATAAAACCATGTACAAATAAGCTAAAAGAATTGAGAATGTATAGTTGAGGGGGAAAAAAACCTCACGTACAATCTTACTGTTTCCATGTATCCGAATGGTTCTCACGGGGAAGAGAAATTCAATTTCCATATTGTTCAAAAAGGATGAACTAGAATCAATGAGCCAGAAGAGTTTTAGCTCAAGAAAATAAAGATCTTCTAAATAACTGTCAAAAATGAAACATGTTGATTGGACATTAGACCTTCCCCTGAAGGGGAAGCACATACCAACATAGAAGCACATACTTCTTGACCAGCAGTGGGATGATTTAAATAGATTGGAACATTCTAAGGTTAAGATCGTTGGATTAAATTTGTTGCAGTTTCACATGATATAAAAGTCTGACAGCGGCTGGGAGCAGTGGCTCAAGCTGTAATCCCAGCACTTTGGGAGGCCGAGGCGGGTGGATCACGAGGTCAAGAGATCGAGACCATCCTGGTCAACATGGTGAAACCCCTTCTCTACTAAAAAAATACAAAACATTAGCTGGGCATGGTGGCACGTGCCTGTAATCCCAGCTACTCAGGAGGCTGAGGCAGGAGAATTGCCTGAACCCAGGAGGCGGAGGTTGCGGTGAGCCGAGATCGCGCCATTGCACTCCAGCCTGGGTAACAAGAGCGAAACTCCGTCTCAAAAAAAAAAAAAGTCTGACAGAAATATTAGCTAACTAAAACTACATAGCATTGAATTAACAAAATCAGTATATTTTTGATATTTTTAAGGATGCATTCTGATTACTAACAAATATATTAAACTAATATAAGAATATTGACCTTAAAAGCAGACACAAAGGGAGGTTACAAACTTCTTGCATGGATGCTGCCATTAATGAAAATGGTTTACATACCTTCCATTGAAACCACAAGACCCAATTTGCCAGACCGTCTGCCTATTGCATAGTCCTAGTACAATACCCCTTTTCTTTTTCTGATACTACTTCATAGAAAATTAATCTTCATTTGCCACCCCGCCCCTCACCTATGAGACCTCAGTAACATCACCTGACTTTTCCTCATCTGTAAAATTTGGAATCCCTCATATATCTTACAAAG